CAGAAAGGCAAATGGGCCTTATCTTAGCTCATTGGTCACCATAGCAACACCCACCCGTAGTCTGCGCTCCAGCAGGTATATCTCACTGGTCATCCCTAAAGCCAACACCTCCTTTGGCCGCCATTCCTTTCAGTTCTCTGCTGCCAATGACTGGAACGAACTGCAAAAATCTCTGAAGCTGGAGACTCTTATCTCCCTCACTAACTTTAAGCATCAGTTGTCAGAGCAGCTTACCAATCACTGCACCTGTACACAGCCCATCTGTAATTAGCCCACCCAACTACCTCATCCCCATATTGTTATTTATTTTGCTCATTTGCACCCCAGTATCTCTATTTGCACATCATCTTCTGCACATATATCATTCCAGTGTTAATACTAAATTGTAATTATTTTGCACTATGGCCTATTTATTGCCTTACCTCCATAACTTACTACATTTGCACACACTGTATATAGATCTTCTATTATGTTATTGACTGTACGTTTTGTTTATCCCATTTGTAACTCTGTGTTGTTGTTGTTTTTATCACACTGCTTTGCTTTATCTTGGCCAGGTCGCAGTTGTAAATGAGAAATTGTTCTCAACTGGCTTACCTGGTTAAATAAAGGTTAGATAAAACATTTAAAAAAGATAAACTTACAGGATCTCTCATGCCATCCTGAATCACCTTCCACTGCCTGATAAAGACACAAGTAAACATGTTCAGTGGTTTTGTAGTGGTTCAGACAGGTTTGTTGTATATAGAATGGACGCTATTAAAAGATTTTAAGCATACCTATCAGTGAGATTCCTCATGAAATTGATTATGATTGGGAAGCAGACGTCCTCTTCCATTCCTGAGGGGTGAAGCAGACGTCCTCTTCCATTCCTGAGGGGTGAAGCAGACGTCCTCTTCCATTCCTGAGGGGTGAAGTAGACTCTTCCGTAGTTCCTTCCTCCTGTAAGAGGTTCTGTTCTGGTATTTATCTGGAGGCGGAGCTCTGGGTGAACAGAATGCCACTGAGGGACCTAAAGGACTAAAATACATATGTGTTTTTTTTTATAATGAATCTGCACAACAAAGGGTACACTAACCAAACAGTACATGTACTGGGAAAAGAAATAGTTTAATATAGAAAAATCTCTAACCTTCTTCAGAGGTGTTCTTGGCACTTTATTTTCTCTTTGGCGTCAAGGAAACAGATTTCAGGTCCCACATTAATTATTATTCCTAATGTGTTGCATCAAGTCAAAGCAGCCCATTATTTAGCCAATACATAGGCAGATAGTAATTAAAACCAAGCAAATAACCCAAATGACCAGAGGACCAATCTTCTGACATTGAATCAAGTTTGTAAAATGAAAGAAGATAGATTAAAACCTAGCAACAAAAACAAAATGACCAAAGGACCAATCCTACCTTGATAGACGTGTCCTTCTTCTCCTTTAGTTGAGCATCTATTCTTTCCCCTCCTCCTTCATCCCTTTCTCCAATTCATGTTATGAGCAACTGTTGTTGTTATAATCATCATAGCCTACAGTATATCTACAGCGTTCATCAAAATGAACCTTTTTAAAGCTTTTTAATCTTACACGTTATAAACGTTTGGTTGAAAAGACTATAACACAAAGCTCCCAAAATAGACCTACTGCGTTTTCATCTAACGTTGGATCAAGTTTGTAAAACGAAACTAAAAAGCGCAGAAATGTGTCCTAGTTATAGGCTATGTGATCTAAACATGTCTGAACCGTGGACACAGCACAGAGGGTCTGACTGAAATGCAGCCAAAGTAAGGATAAACAGGTGTTGACCTTTTTGCCGTCATAATGATGTAGTAGTGACAACAGTGGCCCTGGACAGGAATTAAAATAGCCTACTGTAGTTATAATAAGACCTGTGTTGTAGGCATAGGCTCAATAACTGGTTGGTTCCACACAGTTAGGCCCATGTGACAATTTCCTTCATCACTTGAACTTCAAGTCAACCTATTCATAAAAGTTCAAATTGGTCATTGATTTAAATAAATATTTCTGCTGTCCTTCGCTCCCCATTTTGTATGTCTACACACAGGAGGTTGGTGGCACCTTAATTGGGGAGGACGGGCTCGTGGTAATGACTGGAGCGGAATCAGTGGAATGGTATCAAACACATCAAACACATGGTGTCCAGGTGTTTGATGCCATTCCATTTGCGCCGTTCCTGCCATTATTATGAGCCGTCCTACCTTCAGCAGCCTCCTGTGCTACAACCCATGTTCATACCGTATTTTGAAGACCTAGCAGTGACTTTGTCACAGAAGTAGGCTTAAAAGTTTGATGGTGCTAATTAGTAGGCCTAAACAACAAGCAAATAGCCACGATCAGAGATTCAGCACCATTCCAGTGGACAGCAACTGAATCGGAATCCCGCAATCTGACGTTCAGCACCACAGTGCAGTACCCAACACTCAGTTGAAGCAAAAAAGCGGGGCTGCAGTGACATTTTGATTAATTAAGGATTGTAGCTTTAAGACAACCGTCGTGGGCAAAAAGAAAAAACGTGCCGCCCATAGCTCAAAATCTGTAAGTTCTTATACTAGGGCTATATTTTTCAAATCTACAATAAATGATAATGTGGGTACTTAGCATAGGCTAGGCGATTCCATGGCAAGACTAGTCTACTAAATACACAGTTCAGTCATAGGCTAAGTAAACCAAATCGGTGTATATAGTTGTTTTCAGGGGTAGAAATTAGGGTCTCTGAGCAAAGTACAATAGGTTTCAACTATGATTTGCATTATGCAGAGAAATCGAAGAAGTTTGTGAAATGATGCTGCGTTCAAGACAACTGGGAACTTGGAACTCAGAAATCTCCGACATCCGACTTCAGTGCATTCAAGACAACCGGGAACTCTGGAAAAAACGAGTTCCGACTGGAAAAATCGTTTTGAATGGTCATCCAAGTTGGAATTCCAAGTCGGAAACTCAGGGATCATCCTGTGGTGTCTAGACTTGACAGTTCATGCAGCTTTTGTTTTCTGATAATGCAGTTCTGATAATGGAATTCCGAACACTTCATGCGTCTACATTTACATTTAAATGTGTCCACCATGTCCACATTGTGTCCGTTCCCGCGCTTGTAGTGGAAATGTTAATCAATAATGAGGAGAGTCAGGGTCAATCACCAATCAGGATATTACTTTATAATATAATAATATAATATAATATGCCATTTAGCAGACGCTTTTATCCAAAGCGACTTACAGTCATGCGTGCATACATTTTTTTTGTGTACTTTAATCAAAACGTATCAATAAGGCAATAAGCGAGGCTGGTTGGCCCAACAGTCTTGACAGTTGGCTGAGCGCCCCGACACAAAGAATACAAATATATTTTATAGCAAAGATACACCCTCTTAGTCTACATGACAAATAACAGATGTATGGAATGGGTCACAAGGTGAGACTTGATATATGAGAAAGGAGTATCCCCCAGCCAGATAGCATTTGCCATGAAGACTGTTCTTATTGTACAGAAACCAGAGTTTGGCCCCTAAGACAAGCTTCCTCTCATTATTATCCATCCCCGAGCCATCTCTCCCTGGTACCTCATTACACAAACACCAACTCATTCTATGGAATGCATGCTGTAGGTTTTATCACCAAAGGCATCGTAAATCTACTGTCAATGTTAACACAGACACATGAGAGTTCTAAGAACCCTATTCTACTGCAGAAAACAACCATTTGATGCAATAACAGTATTATAACATCATCTAGTAATTTTTGCTCTCACACGCTATATTCAAATGCCAGTATGCGTTCTACAAACGGTGGAATAGGCTAAATATGACAGCACAACAACAACTGATGGCAGTAGCTAACTACTTTAGCTATGTAGCCAGCTAACCTCTGTAGCTAGCCAGCAAGCTAGCAAGCAACGCTAAAGGGATTGCACACGAGTTAGCATAACTCTATCCAAATAAAAAAGTGTTTTTCTAAATATTAGCTAGCTGGCTAGAATTTATGAAGCTGGCAAACACATTCCCCACACGCTAGGAACGTATTTCCTCCAACTTTATAATGAAAAGGTGCCTCTCGGTCCCAAAACACACGTTTTCGGGAGACTTTTGGGAGGAGTGCTGATGATGTCACCCACTGTATGCGCTTTCGGTAGCCTGATTGCGTCCAGGCTGAGGAGAAATCCACACACAATGCATCCCTGACCACCTCCTGAAGTGGTCAGACAGATCTGAACACAATCAGACCACAAAGCAACTTTTGTGCGTCTAGACCTGTCTTTTCAATGCAATCTTCATATTCTGTGTCAAGTGTAGACAAGACAGAGCTCTGACTGCTCTCACCTGAAGATCACTGATGTCACTGTTTTACCTCGTTTTCTGAGTTCCCAGTTGTCTTGAAAGCAACATATCTCTAGACCTAGGCTATATAATTGTGATTCTCATAGCTATTGGAATAGATTTAGTTGAATAGCCATATGGTTTCAGTTAATGACGTGTTGGAAGTCGCTTACCTTTTCTTCATCCATATTTGTGTTGAATTGCTCATGCGACTTTCTGTTGTCTGATGTAATCGATTATGATGGACAGTAGGAAACCAAACTCGTCCTGGACATGTTAATATGTCATGTATGTTGTACATTATGTCATAGAGGTGTGTGTGTGTGTGTGTGTTGATGAGGCCCAAAAAATGCTACCTAACATTTATAATAACGATTTGCCTAAGCATCTATACGAATAGTGTGCTGTTATTTAAAACAACAACAACAACAACATATGTTTAAATTAATGCCAAACAAAATCATATCCACATGACCTTACTTCAACCGATAAAGGCAAAGCAAAAAGCTAAGGAGAGGAAGTCACAATAAACTATTGAGACGAATCCCCGTTTCCTTACGTTTCTGCCTCCCTCCAGTGCTTTACATGATACACCAGAAAGTGGTCACGTCACGTTAATTCAGTGAGTTAAAGTAAAGGCAAATGGAAAGCTCTGCTGCATACCACGTGACTTACATAATGCGTGGTGAGCAAGGAGACTGTTGTAGCTGTCTTTTTTGTCTCCTGGTGCCACCACTATGTCTGATGTCTGCTTCCATGTGGCAAGTGGCTCAGCAGTGTGACGTGATGCAGTATGGGAAGCTGGAGGAGTTTGTGACTCTGGTAACAGAGATAGTTCCGGAGTTGCTGACCTTCAGGCAGAGGGTCCAACTTGTCCTGGGGCTGAGAGCGAGGGTGAGACAGGTGGAAGTGTTGAGGGTTGAGAGTGGTGTAGGGTCGGTGGTTGAAATTCAGACCTTCGTTCGCCCCTAGCCCTGGGATCTCACAGAAAAGGGATGCTGACCAGAGATCGCTCTCGTCACAATTTCCTGAACACCTTGTATTCACTCCTTATCAGTTACATATTTGACTCCTCAGTTTGTCTCCTCAGTATATAAATTGTTCAGGCAACCATTAGGAATGCATACATCTCCTGTTTCAGCTTGTTCTTGAATTGTGTCGTGGTGTGGAGTCTAACCCAGCTGGCTACAAAACCATCCAGCCTTCATCTAGACAGAATCCATTCATGCACAACGCATAAACGGGTATATAAACTGTAATATGTGTAACACACACCAGTCTGTTAAAGGCAAGTCTGCTTTACCTATTTGTAGTTGTTTACAGTTGTTTTGTGTGTGTGATTACATATTCAGAGCAAAGACAAAGCAGTGGAGGCATCAACGGATAACGCTGTGGAGTTGGTCCAAACACTGCTAGAAGACCCAACAAAGAGGGAACACTTTCTTCAAGTGAGATAATACGTCTAGATCATTTGTGGAGCGATAGGTAACGATGCTTCGAGGGTGACTGTTGTCGATGTGTGCCGGGGGTCCCTGGTTCAGTCCCTGGTTATTCTCTCCCTCTCAGACGGCATCTATTCTCAACCTGACCCCTACTGACCTGGAGGAGCGTGAGCAGTCTGTCTCTGTCTCCGACCCTGAGCACCTGAAGACACTGCTGCAGCATCATAGACATCTGGGGCACCTTAAAAAAGATAAGGATCCCTCAGGTGATCTATTTGAACTTCACTTCTGTGGTAAATGTCTGTGGGGGATTCTCCTGAAAGAGAACAGTGTTAGTAAACTGGTTGGATTCTCTCTCTCTTTTCCAGATCTTCTCTTCTATGACTCTGATACATCCTGTCCACGTTGTCTCTCCTCGTTCCCTCACCGGAGTCTAAACCGACCCGGAGAGGGGGAGAAAAGGGCACGGTGAAGACCGAGAGTGATGTGAGGACAAAAGGAGGGAAGAAAAAGGCTGAAAGACAGAAAGAACAGGAGCGTGGCGAGGAGGGACAGCAAGAAGTCAGTGGGGAAGACAAAGGTGAATCCAGGTGAAAGCTATGATCCCTTATTGATGTCACTTGTTAAATCCACTTCCATCACTGTAGATGAAGGGGAGGAGACAGGTTAATGAAGGATTTTTAAGCCTTGAGGCAATTGAGACATTTACATTTTAGTCATTTAGCAGAAGCTCTTATCCAGAGCGACTTACAGTTAGTAAGTGCATACATTACTTTTTTATTTTTTTCATACTGGCCCCCCGTGGGAATCGAACCCACAACCCTGGCGTTGCAAACGCCATGCTCTACCAACTGAGCTACATCCCTGCCGGCCATTCCCTCCACTACCCTGGACGACGCTGGGTCAATTGTGCACCGCCCCATGGGTCTCCCGGTCGCGGCCGGCTACGACAGAGCCTGGATTCGAACCAGAATCTCTAGTGGCACAGCTAGCACTGCGATGCAGTGCCTTAGACCACTGAGCAATTCAAAGGGTGAATGGGCACGCCTAAAGATTGAAGTGCCTTTGAACAGGGTATGGTAGTAGGTGCCAGGCGCACCAGTTTGTGTCAAGAATGAAACTGTATGCACTCACTAACTGTAAGTCGCTCTGGATAAGAGCGTCTGCAAAATGACTAAAATGTAAAATGTAAGAACTGCAACGCTGCTGGGTTTTTCACTCTCAACAGTTTCCTGTGTGTATCAAGAATGGTCCACCAACCAATGGACATCCAGCCAACTTGACACAACTGTGGGAAGCATTGGAGTCATCATGGGCCAGCATCCCTGTGGAAAGCTTTCAACACCTTGTAGAGTCCATGCCCCGACGAATTGAGGCTGTTCTGAGGGCAAAAGTGGGTGCGACTCAGTATTAGGAAGGGGTTCTTCATGTTTGGTATACTGAGTTGGTGAAGTTTGGTAACTTTTTTGTGTAGCAGGGTCTGGGCGGTAGTCAAACCTATCTTACAATAACATTGTAAAGTAATTATCCCACCTTTTTGTTGTCATCGAATTTCTCACTCTACTCCGTAACTCAATTTAGTGGACAGTTTCTGTAACTGCACAACAGATTTCTGCATAGATTAAAAAGAAAATAAAAATCATTATCTATCGCCCCATCATCTGCTGACGACAATCTGCAATGGAACGTTAAACTCAACAGCCCTTATTTCACTCTCCTGTGTTTTCTACCTCCAGGACAAGTTCAAGCCGAGCCCCCCCCCCCCCCCAGTCCCAGGGCCTCTCCTGCTCACAGTGCCAATTCTTGGACAGGAGATGGACCACCCTCTCCAAGAGCACATCAGGAAGAACCATCCGAATAAGGACAGCAGGATCCTGGGCTCTGGAGAAGCTGGAGCAGAGAACAACTCCCTGCCTGTCAGTGAGACAGAGAACTCCTCAGCCAAGACTAGACTAGGAAGAACAGGTACATCTGCTCCCAGTGTGGGAAGGGTCACAAAAACTCATCTGACCTGAGACGACATGAAACAGTTCACTCTGAGGCAAAGCTGTTCCATTGTGACCAGTGTAAGAAGAGATTAAAATCAAATGTGGCTTTTAAACAGCACCGTCAAGTTAACACTGGAGAAAGGCCATATGTTTGCTCACATTGGCAGGGGCTTTAGGACCACAGAAGTCTTAAAATCACATGTACGCACTCACACTGGGGAGCGACCTTTTGTCTGTTCCATCTGTGGGTAGAGATTTAACCAACAGCAAATACTAGTAGGTCACCTCAGATGGCATAGATGAGAGAAACTGTTCTTATGTACCGGTTGTGGAAATCATTTTCGTACCTCAGGTGCCTTGTTGGTGCACTCACAAACACACACGGATGAACGCCCCAAAAGCTGTGAGCATTATGGGAAGAGGTTTAGAAGAGCTTGCGATCTCAAAATACATCGGCAGATCCACACAGGCGAGCGGCCGTTCTCCTGCACAGAGTGTGACAAATGCTTCCCCTCCCACAGCGACCTTAGCAGATACATGCAAATTCATACAGGAGAGAAACGTACCAGTGTAGAATGTGAAATAAGAGATTAATTGAAAGTGGCAACCTGAAAGTACACCAGCGGGTTCATCGAGAAAAAGCCACATTTACAGGTTTCAGTACAGCCCACCACCAGTCACCAAGTGTGGCAAGGGAAGGAAGGATAAGGTTCCACCACTCCTCGTTGGACATGAATTACAGTAGCCACAGAGTATCCATGTTCTAAGAACATACTGGAAAACGTCATTTTCCGTTTAACGACATTATTGTTATTTCATAATAATCATAATATGATATTTCTCGTAATAATAAGGTAATTGGTTATTTTGTTTCTCCAAGTGGCAGCTTTTCGACACCGTGTATTAGGTAATCACACAAACATTCATTGTATCCTGCCCACTAACAGTCACCGAAATGAAAGCTAGGCAGTCAGTCAGGGAGTGTCAAACGTTTGAAAACGGATTGATACAGGAGTACAGTGCTGTTGCCCTAGGTGTATTGTGCTCTACAGGACTCTGGTGAAGATAAAGGAATGCTCGCTAGAACTATAGTTTGTGACCATGGTAAGTGACTTGACTAAACCACCTTATCATATATCTATACATCTTGTCTTATCAAATCAACAGGTACACCTGCTCCCAGGGTTTCAGAAACCACTGTGACCTGAGATGACATGAAAGTGTTCACTCTGAAGCAAGGCCCTTCCATTACGACCAGTGTGAGAAGAGATTCAAAACGGAGATGACTCTAAAACGCCACCAGAATTTCACATTGGAGAAAGGCCATATGTTTGCTCCCATTGTGGCAGGGGCTTTAGGACTAAAGCAGTTTTGCAAGCACATGTACGCACTCACACCGGGGAGCGACCTTTTGTTTGTTCCATCTGTGGTAAGGGATTTACACAGTCAAATATACTGACATTACACCTCAGGATGCACAGAGGGGAGAAAACGTGCTTATGTAGCGTTTGTGGAATGGCCTTTTACACCTCGGGTCACTTAATGGTACACATGAGAAAACACACAGGTGAACGGCCCTACTGCTGTGAACATTGTGGGAAGAGGTTCAGTGTACCAGGAATGCTCACACAGCATCTGCGGAGTCACACAGGCGAACGGCCATACCACTGCAAACTGTGAAAAACGGTTCGCCTCCAACAGCAGCATTAGAAACCACATGAGAACTCATACAGGGGAGAAACCTTTTCAGTGTATAAAGTGCGGTAAGAAATTCACTGAAAGCGGCAACCTGAAAATACACCAGCGAGTTCGTCGAGATTAAGTCTCAAAGTTGTCAAAAAGGTATTGAGGGATGTTGTGCTCTACAGTTTTTGCTGTATGACATCAAGACGTGATAGGAAATCATTTTCGTTAAGGATTCCTGGCAACGACTATTCCTGATGTTTGGTAATAATAAAGGAGACATTGTCATGAAGGCGTTATGAGCAGCATGTCAAATAATGTGGTCCAAGCTTTTCTTTAGTTTGTGTCTTTACTGAATAAAGAACTGAATATTAGAACACACAACCACACACAGGTTACATTTACTCCTAAATGACCTGCAATTGAGAAATTACGTATTCTTATTAGTCTGTATCGTCCATTATGATCAGCAAAGGAAACCATGGTTACTGTATAGCTGCAATGTTGATTTAAATGCTCACACTTGCCATGAAAATACACCGGGAAAGTGGCCGCCTTCTCTGCCTTGTTTTTAAAATGGTCTTTAAGTGCAAAAAGTACAAAATGAAAACGAAATCTAAAATAGTCATTAAGGCATCGAGTAAATCCACAAAAATGATATCTTAAATGACTGCGTGTTCATGAATGATATGAAATCTTGAATCCCATTCAAAACTGTATCGGACTGGATACGGGAGTAAAGCGGAAGAGGCGTTCACTTTCACTGCGAATATATTTTTTTAAACCACAGCGGAACAGACCTGGGTTCAAATCCATGCGTAGTTGTAATACATACTTATTTACATGTGTATTTTCAAATACATTGGCCAAATCAACTACTTCTATTTGAATGTCTACCAATAGTATTTCAAAGTATTTTTTAAAAATCTAACAATTTTTTCAAATATAACTAAGCATTATACCAGACAGATGAACTGTGGACATTTTATCTGACAATGCAGGTTATTGGTGGGCAAGGGGAGCTGATAGGGGTTCGTTGGTGTTGGACTCATCTGACGTTCCATCGTCCTCAACTGAGGAGAAGTCAGGTTCTGAGGCCAAGTCTGAGAAGGTGAAGTCAGGTACCTGCCAATGGAAAATGCAACTAAGTACAAAAAAAACTGCCTAATGGTACGTTCTTAAGACTACGAATAAATACAGGGAGGGTAGCATCATTATTGCCAAACCTAGCCCTGGAAAAGCATACCACTACTGTTCAGTTAGTTGAGCCACTCACAACTCCATATCCAAGGTATCTCAATGCATTACACACACGTAATTCACTGAAGTGGAAGATGTGTGCGATAATGTATGAAAACATCAAATTCCATTTTTTTCAAACGCTTTCAAACCGGTTTGTCATTTTCAAGGCAGCAAGACAACGCGCAGATTAAATATTAACCCATTTATTAGAATTGTCTAAAGATGAAAGCATACATGGTTATGCATTTACACGAGTCTAGATCTACTATATGGCAAGTTATGATTACAACAGGATATAAAGTGATGTGAAAAACAGTAGTATCAAAAGCACAGTGCTGCATAAGACAAGGCATGGGCAAATGTAGCTAGATTATTGAGCACACACGGAGCAACATTCAGTCAGAATGCCTAAATATTGTCAAACAGTATGTCAACATTTATTCATCAACATGCTGAATAAATGCAGGCTCATTAGTGTGACTATCAGGGATGTTTGATGTAGGAACAATACTATGGGAGGTGATAGAAAGTCGTTAAAAAGGCAGCTAGTGCTTAGAGTCCATTGATTTCATCTCCACCTCTGCGGGGGCTGGTGTCTTCTGGGACTGGGAGGATGCAGCGGTGGGGGGTGGGGCCAGCCGGGGGTAAAAGGGACCTACCAGCCAGTTGAGGGGCGTGTTGTTGATTAGGTAGTCCATGACGTCATCCAGCGACTCCTTCATCTTGCTCAGCTGGGCCTTGCTGCTGGCCAGCACGCCATCCGACAGGTCCCCGAACGCCGCCGCCTTGCTGAAGCTGGAGTAGATTTGCGAGGCAGAGCGGCTGAGGGACAGGGCCTCCTCCTGGATGTTCTGTGGAAGGCCCTGCAGGCCAGAGACCAGTGTCAGGCACGTTGTCTGCAGCTGCTGAGTGAGGGAGCGCGCCATCGCCAGGGTCCTCCACTCTATGTTCTGGGGGAGAAATGAGGAAGTCCATTTAAATGAACCTGTATCTTCATATTAAAATAGCATTTCCCCAATGATTAGCCAAATATAATGAGGGTCGATGTACAGTATGACTTGGCTAAAATAGTATTCTATGTGGAGTGCTCTTTAGAATGTGATCATTACCTCGGCCTCATCGCTATCTCCTTCCTCATTAGATTTCCACTCGACCAGGGAGCTCAGTTTGCCTTTCACCTTCTGGTTAGCTCCGTCAATATTATTTCTGGCATAATCAATCTAAAAGGGTTGAAAACAAAATAGATTCAAAAAATAATGTTCCATCCATACAAAATGTATGTTTGTATTCTGTCTCAGTGTAAAGGAGTCTAATGAGGATCTTCATATTCAATCTTTTGAAAGGAAGGTAATCTCCTCATCCTCCGAAAATGTCCACATTCTATGGACAATAACGTTTTCCACAATTTGATGTCACTCACCAGGTCCACAGTGTGGTTGAGCTGTGAAATGGACTCCTGGCTGCGCTGCTTGGTGTCTTTGACCTGGGCCAGAGCCTTGTGGTACGCCCTCTTACGCAGCTTGGTAGACAGAGAGCCCAGACGGACATAGTAGTTGGGAGTATCCTTGGCCACATCGAACCCTTTCACTGTTTTCGCCTCCATTTCTGTCAACATGAAAAGAGGAACATGAAATAAAGCATTGCTTTGAGAGTTGTGTAAAAAAAACATCAAGCGCCTTATAAAATCATTCTTGTAATCATCGTAAATGCTGACATTGTATGGGTTTAGAAGTTAACATTCACTACGCATGCTTTCACACATTCTAGGAAAGGGATTATGAGTAAATTAGTAGTTCACTTTCTAACACAGAGTCCATTGACAACATTTTGGATTGTAGGAAAACATTGTGTACAGGATTCTTCCTCTTTATTCATATCTGTACTCCAAACCAAGATGCTTCAGCCCCAAAGAAACAGACATTTTCTCATTTGGTCATTAGAAAACATGGGCCCTTCTGAACAAGCTTAGTTTCTGAGATCTCAACCGAAGCCGATTTAACTCCCCTTTCTCTGGAACATTGCTGAATTTAGATGTGGTTGTTTAACCTACTTTAGTTGAATGTACTGATTGTAAGTCACTCTGGAGAAGAGTGCCTGCTAAATATCACCAGCATAGCTCAATTGTATCAATGACTGATCCTAATGCTCTGGTTGTCAGCCCACTGAGCCACAAGTTAGAAACATGACACTCACCCAACTCGTCCTCAGTGCGAGGCAGGTACTGGTCCACCAAGCTCTCAGAGGTGGTGAGGGCCGTGTCCATTCCACTGCTGACCATCTGGGCCACGCGGCTCTCCATCACTGTGTTCACGCTACCGCTGACCGCAGCCCGGGTCATCTGCACGCTGTCCTGCACAGCGCCCCTGGTCCGGTCCACCGCGCTAGTCAAGGTGTGGGACACACTGTCCTTGGCCACGGTGACGGAGACGGTCACTGCATCTTTGGCGTTGGCGACAATCTAAACAGGAAGAATGGGATCGAGAGAAAAAAGGTAATTTTTCAGTTATCCTTCATTTAAAGAAGTGAAGTCACATCGAGGTTGACATCTGATTTTCAAGTGCGCCCTGTCTTTTGAATGACCGCTAACTGACTAGACACTTTGTTACGACAGAGGGAGAGACAGATCCAAATGGGTGACCTGTCACTGGTTGTCACCCAGGGTCCAAGTCATTGCTCCTCCCTCTACGGTTGGCCAACCTGACTGGCATCCGCTTGATTCGTGGTGAAGTGCGTTGTCGCATTGCCAGTCAGCGCTAAGTAAAGACTGGGCAGCGAGTCATCACGTACCTGCTCGGAAGGCTGGTGCAGGATTGGCAAGGTCTTCTCAATCTTATCCAAACCTTTACAGGCCAGGTCATTGGCCATGGCAACTGGGGGCAGAAAATAATAAGCTAAATGTATCACATTCAAGGTTGGGAAGGCAGAGTAACAATTTGTAGCACTACACAGGAATTTATATTTTTAAGTGTTACTGGTTCAAGGCAAGGCCATAGACATTACTGGGTAAAAGGTCATGTTGAGCAACAGCTCAGGGATGACTGGCCAGACTTCCTGCTCCTTGCAAATTAGGAAGTCTGACTCAATTTTCTCATCGTCACAAAAGGCTTGACAGTTCACCTCAGTTTTTTTAGGTCTCCGGATTTTACCAATGAATCAAACAGATGAAACTCAATATGTAGGCAGTGGTGTAAAGTACTTAAGTAAAAATTATTTAAAGTACTACTGAAGTAGTTTTTGGGGGTATCTGTACTTTACTTTACTTTTTGACAACTTTTACTTCACTACATTCCTAAAGAAAAGAATGTACTTTTTACTCCATACATTTTCCCTGACACCGAAAAGTACTCATTACATTTTGAATGCTTAACAGGACAGGCAAATGGTCTACTTATCAAGAGAACACGTGGTCATCCCTACTGCCTCTTATCTGGCGAACTCACTAAACACAAATGCATTATTTGTAAATTATGTCTGAGTGTTGGAGTGTGCCCCTGGCTATCCGTACATTTTAAAAACAAGAAAATGGTGCCGTCTGCTTTGCTTAATATAAGGAATTTGAAATGATTTAGACTTTTACTTTTGATACTTAAGTATATTTAGAACCAAATACTTTTAGACTTTTACTCAAGTAATATTTTACTGGGTGACTTTTACTTTAGTAACTTTCTATTAAGGTATCTATACTTTTACTTAAGTATCACAATTGATACTTTTTCCACCACTGTATGTAGGTCTACATCAGTGAAAATATACCAGATTGCTATAGATTTGGAGATGGCTAGATTCTTACTTTGTGGCTCCAGCTTGCCGATGATGGGTGCTGCACCAGTGAGGGCCACAGTGGTGATGGTTCGCACCCCCAGCTCGGCCACCTCACACATGGACTTGAGGTAGGGGTGGTTATCCTTGGTGGTGCAGTAGGCACTGGACACCATGTCATAGGTCGAGCTCACCAAGGGGAGGCTGGCCACCCTCTCAACCACATTCTGGTGACAGTTGAAAATGGATGTTAGAACACTCAGTCAACAACATATCTCAAGTACAAACAAATACTAGGTTACATGTTGCTAAGGAGGTTAGCATGAGCAACCCAAATCTAAACCATATCCACTGGAGGTAATTAGCGAAATAATGATTGTGAATCCATGTCTAGGGACACTTGTCCTGCCTACAGTAGTATAGTATAAAACGTAACTTGCTATGATATTTCACAATACTGGACAAGGAAACACCCAATCAATTAAAAAAATAAAAGTAATGATCAATGCCACGTGAACATGTTAGTTATTTGATGAGTTATTTGACTTTGTGTACGTTATATTCTGTTCTGATGTTTCATTTTTAACTACTTTAGTCAAAGTCACAAACCTGATTATTGACAACTTTAACTGACTCCATGTCTGCAAACCTAAACAAGAGGAGAAAAGTAAATGTAAAAAACAAATCAGTCGTTTCTTTAAACAGATAAAAAAGAGACCTAGTTGATTATTTTCTGCTGACTAGACGAATTAAACTATCTAACTCTGTATGTTCTGACTTACCCCCACGACAGCATATATCAGCGCAAGTGATATTGATTGATACAGTATAGCAAAGGTTATAGCAGCGCTGTCAAAATCGAAAGAGGAACTCTCATGTTCAGACAGTTTTCCACAAAACACAACCACCTTCACTCATAAGTAGCCTATATAATAAAAATGTACCTACCAAATCTGTTGGCTAACTTTAGTAAATGATGTTCCCAGCAGTGTTATAACTCAGTCTGTATCAGGTTTGATTTGACAGTGAATCGACAGCGTCCGTATTTATATTCTCTGCTTCTCGCGAGATATTGCTCATAATTTGACGTGGTCGCCGCTAAAGAAATCTAGGGCAAAGGTAACGGGGGGTTCCTAGATAAATGAATGACATGGCACGAACTGTCCTGCATCACTTGAGGATAAATGATGTCAGACATACATTGTATGTGGTTTCAGTGGTGGAAAAAGTACCCAATTGTCATACTTTAGTAAAAGTAAAGATACCTTAATAGAAAATGACTCAAGTAGAAGTGAAAGTCATCCAATAAAATACTACTTGAGTAAAAGTCTAAAAGTATTTGGTTTTAAATATACTTAAGTATCAAAAGTAAACGTAATTGCTCAAATATACTTAAGTATCGAAAGTAAAAGTATAAATCATTTCAAATTCCTTATATTAAGCAAACCAGATGCCACCACTTTCTTGTTTTTAAAAAATGTACTTATGGATAGCCAGTGGCACACTCCAACATTCAGACATAATTTACAAACGAAGCATTTGTGTTTAGTGAGTGCACCAGATAAGAGGCAGTAGGGATGTTCTCTTGATAAGTGTGTGAATTGGACCCTTTTCCTGATCTGCTAAGCGTTCAAAATGTAAGAGTACTTTTGGGTGTCAGGGAAAATGTATGGAGTAAAAAGTACATTATTTTCTTTAGGAGTGTAGTGACGTTCTCAAAAAATACAAGTAGTAAAGTAAAGTACAGATACCCAAAAAAAGTACTTAAGTAGTACTTATTAGTATTTTTACTTAAGTACTTTACACCACTGTGTGGTTGCTGCTTGATAGTCAACATTTAGTGGATATCCCATAGTGATATGGTCTATTTATTTCAGTGCATTCAATGTCATAACTTGTTGCAGTTTGGATTCTATTCTATGCTGGTTATATTCAGAGATTATTTTTTAATCATGGTCCCTAAAAGTAGGTGCTGGCCATTTTGGATTACAACCCGAGCCAAAAAGTCCTAGGATTCCATAGACTGACCAGCTATTGAATCTGGATTTTACAGTACTTGAGTCTTTACAGTCAGTGGTGTCAGAATAATGGATACATTTATCAAAACATTTAGGTTGTATGGTACAGTCATTGGGCCGGGACAGCGTGCCTATAATTACAATGCCTGTAATGAAGTGTAATTCATGCTTAGCCATCATGTCATCATGCCATGTGATTTTGGAATACTCAATACTTTGGTGTTACTCAATGAACTATTCCCCAGTTGGCTATTATTTTTGACCATGCTCAAAAGTCTGGTTGAAATAGATATTGAACTAAGATACTGATTTTTTCTACATAACTGAACTAAACCCCCTTTCCTTTGCCTTTTATAGTTATAAGCAGGAAAGTAGTGGTAAAGTAGGGTAAACCCTGAGCTAATGAAACATAGAGTAATAGGTGGGTAAAAACAAAGTTTACCCTCCACTACGTCACTGATTATAAAATGTAGTATGCTAGAACGTTCCAATGACTAAGTGACGTTTGTGATTACTACACTGTACTGGTGTGGACTACGATCGGATCACATAGTGTATTATAATCCAGAATGGATCATCATATAATTTTTAATTGCCCAGCCGGATGTGATGACAAGCAAAGTACGACCTATGGATCAAGAACAAACAATGAATGCCATCATTTTGTGATGTCACCATTGTACTAGTAGTTACTGATGTCTTGAATCTTATACTATAGGTGCGCTAGACCTATACATATCATAGACAATAAGCGATATTTGCATTTGGAAATATTAGGCAAGTCTAACGCAGTTTTAACTAATCCACAAGTTGAGGTTGTCTAGCAGCAATGCATAATCAATGTGTAGCTTTGTGTTTTTGTCACAATGGGTTTTGCCATTAGGCCTACGCTATGTCTAGCACGTGACATGAGAAACTGACAACATTATGTATTTGTACAGGATGTGGTAGGTATTGTAATCCAACTTTATATAAATGTTTACTCAATGTTGATTGATAGTGAAAGCAGCTCCAATGGCCTGTTAAGTGTGATCAAAGTTCAATGTCCTATTTTGACTTCCCTGACTGCATCTGTCATGCCACAGCTTTACAGTTTATAGTTCACGCTCTCTCTCTCTCTCTCTCCCTCTCTCTCTCAATGTGATTAAATCATGCAATATGAAACCAAGCAGGGAGTACGATTGTGATTGTGTTGATAATGTAAGAAACAGGATATGGCTGCCCCTGTGTGGACTCTTTGAGACATTGCAGGCTAAAATTGGATATGCTTTTGGATTAGGGCCCACTCACTACGTACTGTATTATGGGCCCTATGCCCAGCGATGCATTAATGGCATAATGGAATTAATTGAACATAGGCCAATAACAGGTTGAGGTCACTATGACAAATCCACAGAAATAGAATGAGAACAGCCCAAATTTCAATGTCATAAAGTCTGTCACGTCCAAAGAATGTGTTCCAATTCTATGATCACACCTGTGGAACAAGCCTAATTATGACACAAACAATAGCACATTCTCGAATATAAAATTGCAAGCTTGGAATCATTATTCTCTCAAACACGAAACGTTTATTAAAACTTATATCATATCTGGAGCTTCGAGTCAACACACCGACACCATGGCAGTGCAATGTTTGTGCCAGATATGCACCTGCGGGTAGGTACCAATATTCCTACCGACCCGTGCATTCACCCAGCGCTTTCAGCTGCAGTCTATTGCTTTTTTGGCTAGGAAAAGGTAACAGATGGACAGCGCTGCAACTACGACACAGCCTAGGTCAAGGAGTTCGCACTCTGTCTCATAGTCTACAGTTTCATTGGTAGTCTACAATGATTGTACAAACCATTAGGGGAACACCTTCCTAATATTGAGTTGCACCCCCTTTTGCCCTCAGAACAGCCTCAATTCGTCGGGGCATGGACTCTACAAGGTGTCGAAAGCGTTCCACAGGGATGCTGGCCCATGTTGACTCCAATGCTTCCCACAGTTGTGTCAAATTGTCTGGATGTCCTTTGGGTGGTGGACCATTCTTGGTACACACGGGAAACTGTTGAGCGTGAAAACCCCAGCAGCGTGCAGTTCTTGACACAAAACGGTACGCCTGGCACCTACTATCATACTCCGTTCAAAGGCACTTCAATCTGTAGTCTTGCCCATCCACACTCTGAATGGCACACATACACAATCCACGTCTCAAGGCTTAAACATCCTTCTTTAATCTGTCTCTGCCCCTTCACCTACACTGATTGAAGTGACATCAATAAGGGACCAATTTGTAAGTCGCTCTGGATAAGAGCGTCTGCTAAATGCTGTAAATGGGAATGTAAAATCATAGCTTTCACCTTGATTGACCTGGTCAGGCTATGTCATGGAAAGTGCAGGTGTTCCTAATGTTTTGTACACTCAATGTATGTCAATCATTCATTTCCACTCCAATTTCGTAATTGGAGTGGACATGGAATGACCAATATATCTGCTCTGCATTCATTTAAATGTCACTATTTTTGTTTACTAAAAGTAGCTGGACTTGATGTAATCCATTTCCACAACGAAAACCCTGAAAAGAATCCTCTAGTATAGAGCAAAAGCACTGTCGCGTCCAGTACTTCTCATCGTCATCAAAGACGCGTCTGTCTTCGCTCAGTGCTTCTAGCGCGCCAGATAGAGGGAGAGTGAGTAATCCACGCGCATTTATTTTTAGAAGCGCTGCTCTCCGTCACTACGCACTTCATTTGTAGGCTACTACAACACAATCCATGTTCTTCTGGTCAATCATTTAAATGCTGTTTGGTATGATGGATTGGATCACAACGCCCGAGCGCACAGCGTAAAGATGCGCAGGGATATTCCATAAGGGCAATGTTTCAAGCTATATCCAGAATTTGGAGATGCCCACCTTTGCCAAGGAGGTAAGATTAATGTTTCAACTTTGCGTTCATTAAATACATCGGAGTTCCTATCTGATCGTGAATGGAGTGGCAGGGTAGGCTTAGGGCTATGCCTACCAACAGAATGCAAACATATTGACTGTGAACTGATGAAATGTCATGATCAAGTTTAAATGCTGTAGACTTCATTTGCATGATGTGTGGGAGCAAATTATTATTTGAATGTAGCTGAGAGACAAAATAATCGGAGATCAATATAATTTGAATATTTTTCTGATAAGAAAAACTACATTCCATTCCTGTTTTGAACAACACCTTGGCCTAAAGCATATTCTCAACAACACACTCTCTTGGCCATCCCAACCAATCCCAACACTTAATACCTTTTTCCTGGCAGGAAGCACCACTGCTTACAAGGATCCCATCCAGAGGAGCCGTGTGTCCTGATCCCAGGCTGCATGGTCTCGGAATACCAGGAAAAGTATCCTGCCTACTGCAACACTGTCGTCCGGGAAGCCAAGAAGCCGAAGAATGAGTACCAGCCAATGGAAGGAAAGATATCCAACATGACCACATTCAGGTAAGAGACAGACACATAATTCATCAAAGACGATATGATATTCTGACAACATTCCCTCTTTAATAGTTTGCGTAGTTCATTCAGTCTGCAGGTTGTGTAATGTCTTTAATGTCTTTCAGGTCAGACTACGTGGCCCATGAAGTGACCCAGAGGCCACCAAAGGTCACCAAGTTGTATGTGCCACCTGACGGGAGAATGAGACACAGCAGCACCTATGTCAGGGACTACCCAACTCACCCTGTTCAGAAGCACATCGTGACCAAGGCAGAGGAGTACCATCCGCCCACAGCAAAGATGGTTGCCCAGTCTTTATACAAAGGTACAGTACGTGCGTCTTGGGGAATGTCATGAGATACCAATAAACCATAAATCAAATCAAATTTTATTTGCCACATGCGCCGAATACAACAGGTGTAGACATTACTGTGAAATGCTTACTTACAGCCCTTAACCAACAATGCATTTATTTTTTAATAAAAAAGTAAAATAAAACAACAAAGTGTTGAGAAAAAAAGAGCAGAAGTAAAATAAAATAACAGTAGGGAGGCTATATACAGGGGGGTACCGGTGCAGAGTCAATGTGCGGGGGCACCGGCTAGTTGAGGTAGTTGAAGTAATATGTACATGTGGGTAGAGTTAGTGACTATGCATAAATAATTAACAGAGTAGCAGCAGCGTAAAAAGATGGGGTGGGGGGCAGTGCAAATAGTCCGGGTAGCCATGATTAGCTGTTCAGGAGTCTTATGGCTTGGGGGTAGAAGCTGGGTGAACAGGGAGTACAGGAGGGGACTGAGCACGCACCCCTGAGGGGCCCCCGTGTTGAGGATCAGCGTGGCAGATGTGTTGTTACCTACCCTTACCACCTGGGGACGGCCCGTCAGGAAGTCCAGGATCCAGTTACAGAGGGAGGTGTTTAGTCCCAGGATCCTTAGCTTAGTGATGAGCTTTGAGGGCACTATGGTGTTGAACGCTGAGCTGTATTCAATGAATAGCATTCTCACGTAGGTGTTCCTCTTGTCCAGGTGGGAAAGGGCAGTGTGGAGTACAATAGAGATTGCATCATCTGTGGATCTGTTGGGGCGGTATGCAAATTGGAGTGGGTCTAGGGTTTCTGGGATAATGGTGTTGATGTGAGCCATGACCAGCTTTTCAAAGCACTTCATGGCTACAGACGTCAGTGCTACGGGTCGGTAGTCATTTAGGCAGGTTATCTTAGTGTCCTTGGGCACGGGGACTATGGTGGTCTGCTTGAAACATGTTGGTATTATAGACTCAGTCAGGGACATGTTGAAAATGTCAGTGAAGACACTTGCCAGTTGGTCAGCACATGCTCGGAGTACACGTCCTGGTAATCCATCTGGCCCTGCGGCCTTGTGAATGTTGACCTGCTTAAAAGTTTTATTCACATCGGCTACGGAGAACGTGATCACATAGTCATCCGGAACAGCTGGTGCTCTCATGTATGCTTCAGTGTTGCTTGCCTTGAAGCGAGCATAGAAGTGGTTTAGCTCGTCTGGTAGGCTTGTGTCACTGGGCAGCTCGCGGCTGTGCTTCCCTTTGTAGTCTGTACTAGTTTTCAAGCCCTGCCACATCCGACGAGCGTCAGAGCCGGTGTAGTACGATTCAATCCTAGTCCTGTATTGACTCTTTGCCTGTTTGATGGTTCGTCGGAGGGCATAGCGGGATTTCTTATAAGCGTCCGGGTTAGAGTCCCGCTCCTTGAAAGCAGCAGCTCTACCCTTTAGCTCAGTGCGGATGTTGCCTGTAATCCATGGCTTCTGGTTAGGGTATGTACGTACAGTCACTGTGGGGATGACGTCATCGATGCACTTATTGATGAAGCCAGTGACTGATGTGGTGTACTCCTCAATGCTATCTGAAGAATCCCGGAACATGTTCCAGTCTGTGCTAGCAAAACAGTCCTGTAGCTTAGCATCTGCGTCATCTGACCACTTTTTTATTAACCGAGTCACTGGTGCTTCCTGCTTTAGTTTTTGCTTATAAGCAGGAATCAGGAGGATAGAGTCATGGTCAGACTTGCCAAATGGAGGGCGAGGGAGAGCTTTGTACGCGTCTCTGTGTGTGGAGTAAAGGTGGTAAATAGACAGCTATGAAAAATATAGATGAAAACTCTCTTGGTAAATAGTGTGGTCTACAGCTTATCATAAAATACTCTACCTCAGGCGAGCAAAACCTCGAGACTTCCTTAGTATTTGATTTTGTGCACCAGCTGTTGTTTACAAATATACACAGACCGCCACCCCTTGTCTTACCGGAGTCAGCCGTTCTATCCTGCCGATGTAGCGTATATCCCGTCAGCTGTATGTTGTCCATGTTGTCGTTCAGCCACGACTCGGTGAGACATAAGATATTACAGTTTTTAATGTCCCGTTGGTAGGATAACCGTAATCGTAGGTCATCAAATTTATTTTCAAATGATTGAACATTGGCTAATAGGAATGATGGAAGAGGCAGTTTACTCGCTCGCCGTCGGATCCTTACAAGGCACCCCGACCTACGTCCACGATATCTCCGTCTCTTTCTCCTGCGATTGACAGGGATTTGGGCCTTGTCGGGTGTCTGTAGGATATCCTTTGCGTCCGACTCGTTGAAGGAAAAATCTTTGTCCAATACGAAGTGAGTAATCGCTGTCCTGATATCCAGAAGCTCTTTTTGGTTATAAGAGACGATGGCAGAAACATTATGTACAGAATAAATTACAAATAACGCGAAAAAACACACATAATAGTACAATTGGTTAGAGGGCTGTAAAATGGCAGCCATCTTCTCTGGCGCCATTCTAAATATAGATTTCAAATGAAACTAAGTCCTCTCTTTCACCATTATTTTCAGAGGATTTTCGAGCATGGCACACCCAGAAAGTCCAACCCTACAGGACGTGTGACACCCTGAAGTTGAACGACAGCAAATTTGAGGTGTCCACCACCTATCAAGACGACTACTGCCATAAGGGCCCAGCCGAGGCCAGGGAGAGCTTCAAACCAGCCCCCGACACCCCAGAGACCCTGCCCTTCGACGGCGCCACCAACTACCAGACGCAGTATGTGTCCCACCCGGTCCAGCCCAGGCAGCCCAAGGAGAAGGCTGTCTACTGGCCCACCAGCGCCCCCCTTAATGGGGTCTCCACCTACAGGCAGGACTACCAGGGCCTGCCGGCCAAGCCCGTCAAGCCCTTCAGGGCCAAGGTGGCTTGGGAGAGCAGCCGGGCAATCTTCCAGGGGACCAGCGAGTTCCGTGATCAGTACAAGGCCTGGCCCCTGCAGCCCAAGCACCGGCACCAGGCTGAGGAGTACTGCCCACCTGAGGGCACTATGGTCGGTCTGTCCACAGCTCACGCTGACTATGTCGGCCACGAGTGCCAGCAACGACCCCAGTCCGCCCGCCCCCCGGTCGAGGCATGGACAAAGGAGGCCAGGGAACCCCTCCAGACCAGGTCCACCATGAAGGAGGACTACCGTGCCTGGGACATGGTGCGTCCCTCCCCCACGTTACACGCAGATGAGCTAGAGAAACCCAAGGGGGCTTTCGCCAAGACCACCAACTTCCGCTCAGCATACGCACCCAAGTCTGCCCAGCGCGCCGCTAGCTTCAAGCCCACCCAGACACTGCTGAGCCCCCAGGCCATGGATGAAGACTCTGTCTATCGCCCCACCTACATGCCCAAGGAGGTCCCATCTTGCCCAGCCTGGGATGGCTGCCCTCCTGGCTTTGAGTACAGCTCCACAGGTGCTGGAGGACACAGGCTGTACCGGACCATCTCGATACAGGAAACAGGGCTGAGTCAGCTGGCTGCAGCCACGAGCAATAAGCCCTCTTACTCCCACAGCAGGAAGAGCTGCAGGGTCCCCAGACAAGCCAAGAGAGCGCCATAGAGTCCCGACCACTGACCTGCACACACAAAGCTAGCTAGAGAAGTTTCTTATTGTTCTATTCAAATAGAGCACCTTTGGTATTTTTTATAGTCACATTAAAAAAAACAGCATAATGCTAATTGTGCAATTGTTTTTTTATACAAAAAATTCATTAAAATTCTTACTTGAACATTACATAATCGTTAAGTTGTTTGCTATTTTTTGTTACATAAGTGAGCAATGTGGACACGAATGTAAAATATCAGACACCATATAGCATGGTGATGCACCTGATGCAGCAGAATGTGTGTGCAAGCAATATAATCTGATGTTTTTATTAATGATCTGATTAAAAAGCCACACGTCCATTACTAAAGGCTCAATGCAGCTGTTTTTATCTCAATATCAAATTATTTCTGGGTAACACCCCATCCTGGTTAATGTGTTACCTGGGTGAGGGTGGTAAGTACCTTAGTGTGATTGTTTCTTTTTGACCATTTTAATAAAAAAAAAAAAAAAAGCTTCTTAGCTAAAAGCAATTTCTCAAGCAAGTATTTTGCTAGGACTGTCTGGGAGTGCTCTGAGTGGGGACGGGAAAACTGAAAACTAGCTGTTATCGGCAGAGAGGTTAGGAACTCTTTCTTATTGGTCTATTAACTAATTTATCGCATGCTGAGGCCAAAACTCCATCCCACCAAAACAGGCTGAAATTTCAGGCGGTCTTTTCAAACAGCTCTTAACTAAAAGGGCATTTTCATCATTTTTACAATTTCACAGTATTATTCCAACCTCAGTGTGGAAATACATATAAAACACAGGAAATTCACGTTTCTTACTTCACTGGGCCTTTAAACACCAAAATGGATGTTTATTAATTAGAAAATAGGGACATTTCTTCAAAAAGAAAAGGTGCCATGAAAACAGATCTTGGGTGAAGCTCTGGGCAAGTTTTGAAATCCTATTTACAGCATATATACATTCATATTTCAGAACTGAAATCTGGGCAGCTCTCACTACAACACAATTTAAAAAAAGCCTAGTGAGCGAATCTATTCGCAATTTAAATAATGCAGCAGCTTTCTGCTTCTAGAATACATTTGACATTTTAGTCATTTAGCAGACGCTCTTATCCAGAGCGACTTACAGTTAGTGAGTGCATACATTTTCATACTGGCCCCCCGTGGGAATCGAACCCACAACCCTGGCGTTGCAAGCGCCATGCTCTACAAACTGAGCTACACGGGGCCACCATACATAACCTTCCAGTTAGTGGAACTGAAACTACATTGGACAGAATGGCTGTTTAAAAAATAAACAACGTTACCATGACTTATTGAAATCCATTTTAAAACCATGGCTTCTCTCTACTTGTACCACTCTCATGAACAGTAAAACAAAAACCTCATCCTATTTAGAAATGACAAAATGGCCGACATTTCAATAAACTCTTAGGGATGAAAAGGATTCAGAAAAGAAAGGACGCACAGTAGAACATGACAGTCTTGATCAGTCTTCCATGAAGCGGATGTGCTTAGTGGCCTCCTTGGCCCGGGCTATGATGATTTTCTCGGCTTTGGAAATTAGCTGGGGCAGAAACAGAAATGAAAGGGAGACATTGTTCTGTTAAAATCAATTTAAGGCCTACAATAATATGAGTGAACAACATGCTCATTCAAAAATGGTTTTCCTCAAAAGAAAATGGTTGGGTGCTGCTAGAGATCCTTGTAAATAATCCATAGGAAATGTAAATGGAGGGAAGCCTACCTTCTCTGTTCCACGTTTCTTGTCTCTGGGCCGGTTCAGCTTAGCTTGGCGGTCCACCAGGATCTTCTGCCAGTACCTTTGTTCATGGTCGCCTACAAGTACAAATGAATGAAGAAATTAGAAATTGTCAGTTTCAGTGTGACCACCACTGTAACACAGCAGCACATGAAAACAGCCCCAAAACACCTCTTTCCAAAGTGCAACAAATCATTCAGCCACATTCTTCTCTTATTGAGCAAATGAAGCCAAATCAATCAAACATATTTTGGTAAAAGACATCCCTTCATGAATATACTATCTTGATCCTCAAATGAAGATGCAGTAAAAGGACTCAAAAAACGTAATATATAATAATTAATTAATGTATGAAAATTATTATAATAAATGCCATTTAGCAGATGTTTTTATCCAAAGGGACTTTGGTGTACGGGAGGTCCCGGGAATCGAACCCACTATCCTGGCATTGCAAGTGCCATGCTCTACCAACTGAGCTACAGAGGACAACCAACTGTTAATTAACCATGATCTTACAGTGCATTCAGAAAGTATTCAGACCCCTTGACTTTTTCCACATCTTGTTACGTTACAGCCTTATTCTAAAATTGATTAAAATTGTTTTTTTCCCCCTCATCAATCTAAACACAAAACACCATAATGACAAAGCAAAAACAGTTGGATGGGGAGCGTCGCTGCACAGCTATTTTCAGGTCTCTCCAGAGATGTTCAATCGGGTTCAAGTCCCGGCTCTGGCTGGGCCACTCAAGGACATTCAGAGACTTGTCCCGAAGCCACTCCTGCGTTGTCTTGGCTGTATGTTTAGGGTCGTTGTCCTGTTGGAAGGTGAACCGTCGCCCCAGTCTGAGGTCCTGAGCGCTCTGGAGCCCCGTTGGAACCTCTCCAGCGCGCTGACAATAAACAATGATTCATTTAAGATAGACTTTGAGTGTCCCTGTGTAAGAATTTCCACGACAATTTGGCGTCACGAAAAGGATGATTGATTCTGCCTGCGGAGCTTTCCAGTGGGGGTCTGCGAAGAAAACTGGTGACGCATTTTATGAAGCGTGAGGGAAATTCCCATCTGACCAAAAGACGATGAGACCCGCCCAGACCAGACCCTTACTGTGAGCTGCCCAGGAGGAGACACATAATCCGCGAACAATTGAGGGACGGCAACTGATTTCAGTAAGTCAATTTAAATGATGATTCATGTTTTCTTTTAAATCCACAGCCTCAGAGGATCTAGAAACATTTTCTAACCTCTCTGGATTACAACCAAATTATGATAAATGTACTATACTACATATTGGATTACTACAAAATACAATTTTTACATTACCATGTAGTTTACTAATAAAATGGTCTGATGGTGATGTGGATATACTCGGAATACATATCCCAAATGAAATAAATGATCTCACTCCAATCAATTTTAATAGAAAGTTAGCAAAAATAGATAAGATCTTGCTACCATGGAAAGGTAAATACCTGTCAATTTGTGGGAAAATCACCCTGATTAACTCTTTAGTATAATCCCAGTTTACCTATTTGCTTATGGTCTTGTTTCTCATGGCCTAGCGAACAGTTTTTTAAATTATATGAAAAATAAATATTCCATTTTATTTGGAACGGCAAGCCAGACAAAATTAAACAGGCCTTTTTATATAATGAATATGAATTCGGAGGATAGAAATTATTAAATATTAACGCATTAGACCTCTCACTAAACGCTTCAGTCATACAAAAGTTATACTTAAATCCAAACTGGTTCTCTACCAAATTAGTAAGATTGTCTCACCCAATGTTCAAGAATGGCCTTTTTCCCTTTATTCAGATTACAACCTCTCACTTTCAGTTATTTGAAAAGGAAATAATCTCCCAAATATCACAATTTCTAAAACAAGCCATAGAAAGTTGGTTGCAATTTCAATTTAATCCTCCAGAAACGACAGAACAATAAATGCAACAATTATTGTGGTTAAACTCAAATATACTAATTTTGACAAAATGTTTAAAAAAGGTATATTCTTCATAAATGATATCATCAGTAGGACTGGTGGAGTTGTCGCACATGCAGCTAACAAAAACATTTGGAAATGTCTTCTCTACCCAAAATTACAACCAAATAATTGCAGCATTACGGCAAATATGGAAGAGGAAAGTGGAAGGGGGAAAAAGTAAGGAACTCGTCTGTCAGCCTTGCATTAAAGAAAACTGTGATAAATAAAAAAGTTGACCAGTTTCATTTAAGGACCAAAGGATTGACAGCCGTCCCATATAGATTGCAAAATAGTTGGGAAGAGATTTTTGACGTACCGATCCCATGGCATAGTGTTTATGAACTGATACGCAAAACGACGCCGAATTCAAAACGTATAATTTTTCTATTTAAATTATTATTTAAAATTCTTGCTACCAATAGAATGTTATTTATATGGGGGATACAATCTTCCCAGCTCTGCAGATTTTGCTGCGAAGAGACAGAATCATTAGATCATTTGTTTTGGTACTGTCCATTTGTAGCTTGTTTTTGGACACAGGTCCAGGAATGGTTAAAGGATTGCAATATTTACCTGGAGCTAACCCTGCAGATAGCATTACTGGGTGATCTGAAAAGTCATAGACTAGTGGTCATTGTCCATTTGGAAGACCCATTTGCGACCAAACTTTAACTTCCTGACTGATGTCTTGAGATGTTGCTTCAATATATCCACATAATTTTCCTTCCTCATGATGCCATCTATTTTGTGAAGTGCACCAGTCCCTCCTGCAGCAAAGGATGCTGCCATCCCCATGCTTCACGGTTAGGATGGTGTTCTTCACCTTGCAAGCCTTCCCCTTTTTCCTCCAAACATAACGATGGTCATTATGGCCAAACAGTTCTATTTTTGTTTCATCAGACCAGAGGACATTTCTCAAAAAAGTATGATATTTGTCCCCATGTGCAGTTGCAAACCATAGTCTGGCTTTTTTATGGCGGTTTTGGAGCAGTGGCTTCTTCCTTGCTGAGCGGCCTTTCAGGTTATGTCGATATAGGACTCGTTTTACTGCGGATATAGATACTTTTGTACCTGTTTCCTCCAGCATCTTCACAAGGTCCGTTGCTGTTGTTCTGGGATTGATTTGCACTTTTCGCACCAAAGTATGTTCATCTCTAGGAGACAGAACGCGTCTCCTTCCTCAGCGGTATGACGGCTGCATGGTCCCATGGTGTTTATACTTACGTATTATTGTTTGTACAGATGAACGTGGTACCTTCAGGCGTTTGGAAATTGCTCCCAAGGATGAACCAGACTTGTGGAGGTCTACAATTTTTTTTCTGAGGTCTTGGCTGATTTCTTTTGACTTTCCCATGATGTCAAGCAAAGAGGCACTGAGTTTGAAGGTAGGCCTTGAAATACATCCACAGGTACACCTCCAATTGACTCAAATTATGTCAATTAGCCTATCAGAAGCTTCTAAAGCCATGACATCATTTTCTGGAATTTTCCAAGCTGTTTAAAGGAACAGTCAACTTAGTGTATTTAAACTTCTGACCCACTGGAATTGTGATAGAGTGAATTATAAGTCACCAATTTGTAAGTCGCTCTGGAAATAAGAGCGTCTGCTAAATGATGTAAATGTAAAATAATCTGTGTCAACAATTGTTGGAAAAATTACTTGTGTCATGCTTACTATAGTTTGTTAACAAGACATTTTTGGAGTGGTTGAAAAACGAGTTTTAATGACTCCAACCTAAGTGTATGTAAACTTCCAACTTCAAATGGAAGTGGTGAAGAAAGTATTCTGACAAATGTTCAGAGTGGTCCCTTTATGGATCATTTGAGGTATGATACGGTTAAAGCATTGTACGGGACTTGACTTACCCCTAACCAATAAAACTATAAATAGAACCAATGAATGTTGAACATGATTTTCTGTTAACTAAACTTAAGGTTACAATTTATTGTGCTCCTGATGGAGTTTTCGTTGATATCCCAAATGATGACGTTCTAAACCAATTCGTTAGTAGGCAAAATGGAGACTGCATCTGTTTCCCTATCTATGCCGTCTCAGGTGCCAGACTTATTATGGACGGAGCGCGCCATCTACTGGGGACTGAGACAGTGCCAACCTAGTTAATACATATTGATCCCTCCAAAGCATTACACATGAATCTTAAAATAATAGACATTTAATAAATATTGAAGCAGAAAGTGAATATCCAACAGAGATTGGTAATAAAAATAGAATAACTTTTTGAAGGTATACTAAAATGAAAACAATGCCTTCCAATATGGAGAAAGTTATCATGTTTGAGCTCCTGAGTGGCGCAGTGGTCTAAGGCATGCTAACTGTGCCACTAGAGATCCTGGTTCGAATCCAGGCTCTGTCGCGACCGGGAGACTCATGGGCGGTGCACAATTGGCCCAGCGTTGTCCAGGGTAGGGGAGGGAATGGCCGGCAGGGATGTAGCTCAGTTGATAGAGCATGGCGTTTGCAACGCCAGGGTTGTGGGTTCGATTCCCATGGGGGGCCAGTATAAAAAAAATATGTATTCACTAACTGTAAGTCGCTCTGGATAAGAGCGTCTGCTAAATGACTAAAATGTAATGTAAATGTTTTGTTTGTTTTCAACCTTGCAATAGGGGGAAAAGCAGAATGTTGTTTGAGAGTGATCCGTGTGCATTAGTAGTAGTAGATTGTCTTCCTATTGGGAAGAAGGAAGTCCTAGTTGAAGGAAACATATGGAGACTAGTGAAAGTAACAAAGTGAATGGTAGTTGATTTGCAGATAGCACTCTAATAATGCAATATCTTAGTAATTTGATTGAGCATTGGGACTGATATTACATTTGAGGTCGCTCACTCTTAAAGGCCTGGTCCACTGCTCTCGTGTTTAACATCTGTTGTTTGGGTTAAAGATAACCTTCCTGTGAAACAATAGATATACGCCAGTACACACTGAACTCAAACAGGCTGTAAGAGAGACAGTGGGGAAATTAGGGACAGTTTGTATAGAATTGTATGTCAACACAACAGGTCAAAATGACAATGCCTTAGGAGAGCAGTTAAAGGTAACCGGATCCAGCTGTCAAAGGAGCTCCCAAATTAAGTAAGGCAAGGCCATTTTGTTTGTTTTTACCCTACAATTTTTACTATATACACACCAGCACCCACACACCTGTTAATGAATATTTGTTGGATTTATTGTGTGGGGTCTTTTTATTTCGGTTTTAGGATGCTGTACAAAAATGTCATTTTCTGAAGTTTCTATTGTCAGAGTTTTGGGTGCATACAGTGTGGAAAAAAAGTATTTAGTCAGCCACAAATTGTGCAAGTTCTCCCACTTAAAAAGATGAGAGAGGCCTGTAATTTTCATCATAGGTACACGTCAACTATGACAGACAAATTGAGGAAAAATTTTCCCAGAAAATCACATTGTAGGATTTTTAATGAATTTATTTGCAAATTATGGTGGAAAATAAGTATTTGGTCACCTACAAACAAGCAAGATTTCTGGCTCTCACAGACCTGTAACTTCTTCTTTAAGAGGCTCCTCTGTCCTCCACTCGTTACCTGTATTAATGGCACCTGTTTGAACTTGTTAGCAGTATAAAAGACACCTGTCCACAACCTCAAACAGTCACACTCCAAACTCCACTATGGCCAAGACCAAAGAGCTGTCAAAGGACACCAGAAACAAAATTGTAGACCTGCACCAGGCTGGGAAGACTGAATCTGCAATAGGTAAGCAGCTTGGTTTGAAGAAATCAACTGTGGGAGCAATTATTAGGAAATGGAAGACATACAAGACCACTGATAATCTCCCTCGATCTGGGGCTCCACGCAAGATCTCACCCCGTGGGGTCAAAATGATCACAAGAACGGTGAGCAAAAATCCCAGAACCACACGGGGGGACCTAGTGAATGACCTGCAGAGAGCTGGGACCAAAGTAACAAAGCCTACCATCAGTAACACACTACGCCGCCAGGGACTCAAATCCTGCAGTGCCAGACGTGTCCCCCTGCTTAAGCCAGTACATGTCCAGGCCCGTCTGAAGTTTGCTAGAGTGCATTTGAATGATCCAGAAGAGGATTGGGAGAATGTCAGATGGTCAGATGAAACCAAAATAGAACTTTTTGGTAAAAACTCAACTCGTCGTGTTTGGAGGACAAAGAATGCTGAGTTGCATCCAAAGAACACCATACCTACTGTGAAGCATGGGGGTGGAAACATCATGCTTTGGGGCTGTTTTTCTGCAAAGGGACCAGGACGACTGATCCATGTAAAGGAAAGAATGAATGGGGCCATGTATCGTGAGATTTTGAGTGAAAACCTCCTTCCATCAGCAAGGGCATTGAAGATGAAACGTGGCTGGGTCTTTCAGCATGATAATGATCCCAAACACACCGCCCGGGCAACGAAGGAGTGGCTTCGTAAGAAGCATTTCAAGGTCCTGGAGTGGCCTAGCCAGTCTCCAGATCTCAACCCCATAGAAAATCTTTGGAGGGAGTTGAAAGTCCGTGCTGCCCAGCGACAGCCCCAAAACATCACTGCTCTAGAGGAGATCTGCATGGAGGAATGGGCCAAAATACCAGCAACAGTGTGTGAAAACCTTGTGAAGACTTACAGAAAACGTTTGACCTGTGTCATTGCAAACAAAGGGTATATAACAAAGTATTGAGAAACGTTTGTTATTGACCAAACACTTATTTTCCACCATAGTTTGCAAATAAATTCATAAAAAATCCTACAATGTGATTTTCTGGATTTTTTCTCTCTCATTTTGTCTGTCATAGTTGACGTGTACCTATGATGAAAATTACAGGCCTCTCTCATCTTTTTAAGTGGGATAACTTGCACAATTGGTGGCTGACTAAATACTTTTTTTCCCCACTGTACATGTCAATTCTCTTGATTAGAAGAAATGTACTGAAAAACCCAATGTAAACCTGAGACACAAAATGTTTGAAATATCTTTAAATAATGTCTGAGGTACAGGAAAACAAAAACTCACTTAAATAGGGCTGATTGAACTCTGTTCTGACTGCCTGGTGAGGCCTGATCACCCTCACTAGAAAGACTGGAGACATTGGGTGAGATTTAAATGGGCTATGTAAACACTAATAATTAGAAGAAGTTTATAATTTATCAATAGTCCCATGTGTGATTCGGACCACGAGAAGACAGAGAGAGAGCGCTGCCCCTGAATGAGGGACAACTGTCTCTAGTCTATTTTACCATTACCTTGTGGTCCTCTGTAGCGCAATTGGTAGAGCATGGCGCTTGTAACGCCAGGGTAGTGGGTTCGATCCCGGGGGCCACCCATACGTAAAAATATATGCACACATGACTGTAAGTCGCTTTGGATAAAAGCGTCTGCTAAATGGCATATTATTATTACAATTATTTCCTTATGGAGTTATCAAGAGTGGTAATTCTAATTTGATTTGTTATTCTAATTTGTTTATTTTTGATTTAACAGGCAGTGTTGTTGTTGTTTTTGGACGCATGAATCACGATGTGAGTCAGGTGTCCAAAGGGGTAATTACCAGTCCCCTGGGGCCCTTTGGTAAATATACACATTTATTTTCTTCACACGCCTGCCTGTAAAAGGAAAAAATTGATGTTGGTAATGGTTGACAGTTACTCCAAATGGATTGAAGTTTTCCCCACATCAAGTGATATGAGTATTGCTGTTGTTGTTTTGTTGTCTTTTCATTGTTTTTGTGTCTTGCTTCAATAACAAATCTCACCGGATTGGGTCTGCTGGATGGTTGGGATTTCTCTCTAAGGATTAGCCCTCCAACTCCCTGACCCTGTAACTCTGCAGTGAGATCTCCAAGATGATAAGGGCGTATAAGCCAAATAATATTAATAATAATAATAATAATAATAATGCTTTCAACTGTGTGTTGTTATTCTCTTAGACATTTGTTTTATAAATCTGTATTTAGAATATTGGTCGTAATAATAATTTGTCATACAGTAAATCATTTGTCTGGGTTTCCTGAATCAGAAATGCCCTAAACTAAACTGTTGTTCTGGTCTGTCCTCTCTCTCTCTCTCTCTCTCGATTATGGCAAAGGTGACCACAGATGGTGTCACAGATGGTGTCTAGATGCATGGAAGGGATAATTTGACCAAGAACAGTGTGAACCTCAACCCCCCCTAACTGGCTGAAGCAATGGCCAAAATGGCGTTCAGTATGGTCCTTCACCACTTCTACCGTGCGACTTGAGTCCAAGCCAGCAACCTGTACACAGCATCCAGTCGAAGTTATCAACTGCCTTCTCTCATGCCTTTTCTCTCAGGAGTGCGACATGAGTCCACATGGAGTGAGCATGGAGAGAGATCCCATCCAAACTTCTCTAATGCTGCTGGTGTACTGGTAGGAAAATGGACAAGACATAATGGACTGTAAAGGACAGTGGCGGCTCAGGTGAGAGACATTATCAAGGGCCACCCACTTTGAACATGTGCCATTGGGAGGACGAACTGAAACACTATCTGAAGAAGAACATGAAGAAACGCCAGAAGGATGAGTGCCAGGAGGGAGGGGGGTGGTCAACCGTGCCCGTAATTGATTTAGGCTTATCCAAAATGGTTTATTTGGGGTATCAGGTTGATTGTGGAGGTCTGCACACTGCGAAATGTATAGGAATTTAGACTAAGAATGCATTGATATAACAATCTGTCATTACCACAAGTGATGAGAAAAGCTAATGCTAGAAAAATAAGATTAATATACTGTATGTAAATGTAAGTGTACATTCTGCCAGTATCGGCGTGTGCTAAGTTGAGGGTCTTACGTTAAAGTGATAGAACCAACGTGAAGCACTAAGGACTGTCATTCTAAAGTTGGGTTGGATAATTGATCAATAGTTATAATTATGATTTGGAAAGGCGAGGCTTCTAGATACAGAGCTATGCCCCTAAAATGTGAGGAGAGCTACTAGATTGTAGCTTGGGCTAACCTTGCCCCAATCTCATTCTTATCAAGGTTGGTATGACACTATTATAACATGTGTTCTCTCTCTTCCCTGTGAAAGTCAATATGCATGTGCCCTAGACCAAATTCTGGAGATCTCTAGATACGTAGAGAAAATTGGCAATGCTAAAATAAAATCTGCAAAACAGAGAGGCTCTTGACTATCTTTTGGCAGGTCAAAGGGGGCGATTGTGCAATCACTGGCGACGAATGTTGTACTTTTGTCCCAGATCACTCTTCTAATGACTGATCTTGCCGAATAAATTGCCACTGTTGCTAAGAATAATTCCCCAAAAACCAGAATGGACGCTTGCAACTTGGTTAGAATCCATGTTTGGAAGTTGGAGATCCCAAATTGCCCCATGGGCTGCAGTGTGTTTTTTGTTTAGTTTGCTTAATTGTGTTATTAACATGCTGTAAGGAGATCTGTGCCTCTCTGGCTGGTAAGGTTTTCTGCTCCTCCAGAGGATGGTGAAGCTAATGGAGCTGCCAACTCTGGATGAGCTCCCATTGCCCCCTGTAGATACGGACGATGAGTAATGATTGAAAGTTGTTTTCATTTAACAAGTTAAGGGTAAGGTCATCTAAACCCTTAACCTGTTTACATTATGTGGAACACTGAGCTGATGAGCCAGCACCAACCTTTTGAAGGTCTTAGCAGAATTGTTAAACAACATGGTTTTATATTTTGAGTGAGTCGATGTCCCAGGGACAGTTAGAAAAACATAGGTCAATCCAACCCGATTGTGCTAAGAGATATGGAAACAATGGTTAACATTGAGAGATTTATTCACCTCTGAATCTACAGATCACTTGTGTATGTATTTTTGATACTCACTCCCGTTGATTATAACCTTTTGATTGTAGATTTTAGCTTTATTATGATTCATTATAATGATGAAGTTAATAGAAGTATAACCTTTGTTATGACTTATTATAATGATGTAATTTGACAGAACCTCCTTTTGATAGAAGCTCAAATCTAATGCTTACTTTAAAATGTAATTATTATTATCACACAAGTGATAAAAGGATGGAATCTAAAGGAAATGTTACTTTGTGCATCTTGTCTTTGGTGTCATAAACAATCCTTTGTTCCTGCCTGTGCCTGGTAAGGATATGAGGGGGGGCGTTATGACTTCCTCCTTTAGACTAGTTGGCAGAACGCCCAGAATATAAGATAGGAGACGGTGCCAGACATGCCGGAACCAACCTTATGAACTATGCCTATGTAACGTGTCTGTAACCAGTATAAGGGAATATAGAGCTTCTGACAGACATTCATTATGGTGCATTAAGTTTGTTGGAACCTGTGCCTCGACCCAATCCTCTCTCGGAGCTCTACGGACAATTGCTTCGACCTCGAAGGCTTGGTTTTTGCTCTGACATGCACTGTCAACTGTGGGACCTTATATAGACAGGTGTATGCCTTTCCAAATCATGTCCAATCAATTGAATTTAACACAGGAGGACTCCAATTAAGTTGTAGAAACATCTCAAGTATGATCAATGGAAACAGGATGCACCGGAGCTCAATTTCGAGTCTCATAGCAAAGGGTTCAAATACATATGTAAATAAGGTAATTTTTTTAAATACATTTGCAAAAAAATCTAAAAACCTGTTTTCGCTTTGTCATTATGGTGTATTGCGTGTGATTGATGAGGGAACATTTTAATTTAATCCATTTTAGAATAAGGCTGTAACGTAATAAAATGTGGAAAAAGTCAAGGGGTCTGAATACTTTCCGAATGCACTGTATGTCGCCATTGCCTCTGTTCAGATGTAGTAAATAGTTTATGGCCCCGTTTCAATTCTCCCAAATACATCCATCCCTTCTCCCATCCTTGAAGAAATCACTGATCTAATATGATTTGATAGGTGTGAGCAAGGCTACCTCTGTGTTGCTGTCACTAGTCATGTCAGCTCAGTGCTTACCTCAAAGGAAGGAAGGATGCAAATAAAGATGATTTGAACAGGGCCCTTGATGAACTATAGTGGTAGTAGTGGGAGAGTCAGCCTACCAGAGAGGATCTCCAGCTGCCAGCTGTGTTTGTTCTGCAGCTCGGTGCGAGCGTCAATGATGGCCTTGGCCTCGGCTGGAGTCTTGAAGCGGACGTGACCCTCGGCGTCCCCCTCTAGGGTGTCCACATACACCACTGGGGACACCTCAGAGAGAGCGTCCTAGATACACACAAACTTTGGGTTAGAAGAACATATGGCTCTAATCATTTGTATGTGAAACAATGAATGCATAATAAACATGGTAAAAGAAGAGCGTTAAAAGCACATCTCTACCTTGATGACTTTTCTGCCAGGTAAGGGTTTGGTGTGGGTGATCCTGACGATGCAGCCACTCTCAAACTGAGGCCCGGGGGGAGTCTCCTTTTCACCTGCCTTCTTACTCTCCTCAGCTTAGGAAAAAAAAGACACAAAGATACATTGTGAAGAAGACATAATATTGTGTGTGGAAATGGTCAATTGCATGAGAACCGGTTTCAAAAGATTTTCAGCATTTATTCTGATGTAATATTTCTACAGCAAACTAACATTTGACACAATATCAATATTTTGAGTGTTTATATGAGAGTACTAGGGGATTTAAACATGCAGAAGTTGTACTACTGACAGATAGGTAAGTAGTGGGTAAATATTAGGCACTAACGAGGTACGTACATGTCTGTTTCTGTTGGAGACTGGTGTCCATCTCCATTTTTCCTCCTTCCCCCTTGTTGTGGAACTTGGTCAGGCACGTCTTCAGAGCTCCCATGCTCCTCTTCTGCAGGGTCAGATACTCCACCTTCAGCTTCAGCCAGTCTTTCCTTCCATCCAGACAGACAAAATGAGAGGATGGAGGGGGAGGAAGGAGAGGATGGAGGGGGGGAGGAAGAGAAAGAAGAGAGAGAATGCGAGAGAGCAAGCTCTCGATTTGAATAACAATATCTTGTCTAACACTAGGGTATCGGATTGTTCAATAAAGATGCTATGGTTTAGACTCATTTATTTAGGGATTTAGATTAAGTCAATGCTATTGGTCTGATTGACTCAGAGCAGGCTATTAGTCATTAAGATGCATGAAGGTTCTTACTTGGAGAGAACCCGGAGAGGAATGACATCTTCACCAATCTTCACCCTCTCCTTGTGCTTCTTCTTCCTCTTCCTCTTAGCTTTTAGCAGGGAGTCGTCCATCTTCTCCTCCTCTTCCTCCTTCTCCTCCTTGAGAGGCAGATCTGAAGACACCAGATTACTATTAGGCTTTATTTGTTACTGCTGACCAGTAGACCATCCTTAGGACTGGATTTAATCAAACCTGCCCACGTGTATTTTCTTGTACCCAAAACCAGTGATTTTATCTGCTCACAAACAATGTGATGTAGGTTCAATACAATTAAGGGCATTACCTTTCCCATCACTCCCCATCACCTTGTCCTCCTCCTTCACCTTTCCCTCCTCCCCCTCGCTCATCCTTCTCAGCTTGGCCGGCATGTCTCCCTGGACGTCACTCTCTGAGCTCTCCCCTGCCTGGGACCGCCGTCTCTTCTTCTCTAGCTTTTTGGCCGGGGCTTTATCTGTGCCCCCTGCAGGTGCTACAACCTCTGCACCCTCGGCCTTGCATTTCCTCTTCCTGTCAGAGGGCTTAGACTCAGATTCTATTTCCTGTTCTTTGGCCCCGCCCACTGTTGTCTCCGCCTGTGACGGGACGTCCTCTTTGGTGTTCCCCCTGGACTTCTTCTTCCTCCTCTTCCTCTTCTTCTCCTCTTCCTCGTCTGCAAAAACACAGAGACACAGACACACGCACACACACACAGTAGATGAACAGATGGTAAAGGGCTTTAACTTGATACTTTTAAATGTTGGCACTTTACTAAAAACTTTCCAACATATGCAGTTGTTTTGATTGTGTGTAGTCACTCTGGAGTTAACCAGCGATGCTTTATTCTTCCCAATACCCACCTAGCGTGGTGTTCAGGGAGGGTGGATTGGGGATAGGCTTCCTGTTCTTGGTCTTTGGGAAGATGCCAGGTTTCCTGGGGGCGTCCTCTGGAGGGTTGTTCAGCATCTGGACAAGGAGAACATAGTTAGTTCTCCACCTGCTTGTTACTAGGTAGGACACATCCATTCAATCACAAAATTCATTACAGAGGAATCTTTATGATATCTCACCTCTATGGCTTTCTGTGCTTCCTCTTCAGTCTCAAACTCAATGAAGGCGAACCCTTTGGAGTGTCCCGTGGTTTTGTATCTCGGCACGCTGACGTAAACCACATTTCCACATTTGGTAAACACTCGTTCTAGCCAGTCGTGTGTTACTTTCTTGGGCAGAAGTTCCTGGGGAAAAATATATTTATTTTATATTAGTGTTTTGTATTCAAAGGACCACGTCATGACTTGACAAACATGAAAGTAACTGCTATTTACCACATAGACTGTTCGGTTGTCTACATCTTTCGGATCCTCTCCAATTGGACGCTGCCGTCGTACTTTAGTTCCCTCTATGCTGACCTGAAAGACCAAAACAGATCACAGTGAACAACATACGTCTAAGAATTCAATACAAAACTCCAACCAGCAACTGAAAAACAGGATATGTACAGTAATACTTCACCTCAACGACAGATGAATTTTTCAGTGCCCTTGCAATCAACTTGCAATCAGTTGTCAGATTTTTCATTCGGTTGAAGGATGTCAAAACAGATATATCAACATCTGTAGAAAATAAAACCACTGTTAGTTGAGAGGAACATAATTCCAAAGGAGCAGTACAGGACAAGTGAGAATAGGCTGATTGTTGTATGTTATCCCTTAATCTCCATCACAAATATAGGCCAAAATTCTACCCCGACCACAAGATAGACAAAACACTTATTGTTGCCGTTTCCAGCTATGTTAGCCTGGTCCCAGATCTGTTTGTGCTGTCTTGCCATTTGCCAACTCAATGACCATAGCAGTTGGCAAGACAGCACAAACAGATCTGGGATCAGGCAACAGCTACGTAGGATGGGACAATGACTCCAAATGCTGCCCATTACAACTACTTACATCCATCTCGTGACTCCTCAATGAGTTGTCTCAGAAACCTGTCCTTGTGAAGGTTGACATCCCCAAACCAGAAGTCCACCTGCTTCTTCACATCCGCAAGCAGCTGTTTCACACGGGACCTCTTCTTCTTCTCATTCTCTTTGTTCTTTCCACCTGGGTCCATGGTAGATGATAGGGCACCCACGGCTCTTTCCTTTGTGTCAACCATTATGTGTTTAACTACACCTGTGAATGATAATATCTCATGGCTGAGTAAAATTACACTGAAGGTATTGGCATTCATTCATCATTAGCGATCTAGTGTTTTGAATTCTGCAAGTGAGAACAAATGTTAATGTTATGTAGTTAATGTGCATGATTATATGTAACGTTATTTAGCTCATCCGAGCTAAGTTAGCTAACAAGCTAATGTAACGTTAACTTCCTAGCGACTCACTCAGTCTAACAAATACCAGTATGGCTGTTTCAAAACATTTTAGAAGGTAGCAAGTAGCAAATCAAACAGAAGACATTACCTTATTCTCTGCGGCAATAAGCAATCATTTAGCTAGCTATATTTCAGAATTCAGAGCTACTGGCGTGTTTCGTTTCCCCCTGTGAGGTCCTCGCACAGTTGAGAAACAGTCAACAGAGTCGCTCAACCTTTCTTGACGAATAATTAGCTAGTTAACACACTATAATTTAGCAAATGAGTACACCCAAATTCCAAATGTGATTATACATATCAAAGGAAATGCGTTCAACACAGGTAATAGTACCAAAAGCTAAATAAGATGGTCTGTATTTCTCTAAAAAGGCTTTATTTTGGAAACCTATTTGGTCTCTTGTTGATGACGTTTCATCCACGGGAATCCCTCCAAAAAAGGAGCGAAATACCAAAATACTGTAGCAGCCAAATTGGCCGTATTGGAGAGGATCAAAACCGTAATATATCACGGGTAAATTGTGACTGACTGACCGATCTACAAATAACAATCAGAGTTATTTATGATGCAAGGTTATTTGTAGATCAGTCAGTGGGAAATCGCCTGCACTTTCGGCTGCAATGTAGAACACGTTTATGGACACATACACACGCGCACCTCTCTGTTATGTCATGTACAACCAGTGGTGTAGTGGTCCCTGGAGAAGTGGGTATACTCTCAGTATTCACCTTTTTTTTTTTTAAGTAGTCCAGAAAAAAGCCCTGTTTTAGAAACAGTGACATGTAAGACTATGATTTAGTTTACCCAAAAATATGTAATTTCTACTTGCACACTATTATAAAATGATCATGACTTGATTAGGAGCAGTTTGTAGTTACTACTGGTCACAAGAGCAGCCTGGATGAATGTAAAATGTATTTATCATGAGGCAAACAGGAAATGGTGTTTCGATTATTTTTTGCACATTTATTTAAATAAAATACTTCAAATCTGAAGGTGACAATGCATCCTTGTTCATATTGCTATATGCTTTGTTTTGAACATGTTCATTTACCGGTAAATCATTCAACAAAATATGTTACAACAATATTTAGTTAACAATTAACAAAAATATATGCATTAACAACACATCAACAGTGATATACTCTCTCAACCCAGCACTGGGTTTCTGACCTTTGCTCATACTACAGTATATTCCAGACAAATTTGCTTTCTGCAGGAGCTTTCACACTGCACTGTCTAGAACGCACCGAAGAGGCAGCACGATGGCTCTTCAACCAGGTCCTTGTATATTTTCTAGGATCAAACTTGGAAGTTGGTGGGCCGTTGATATTAATCATCATCAAGTTTGATATGTTTGAGATCAGAAGGACAGCCCTCTTGTCTGAGCTTATATTGTTCATAAGGCTAAAATTCCTCTCACACTCTGCTGTACCGACAGGGAATGTTTTCATACAGTTCATAAGTGGTTTTAGGTCCTTGGGCTCACTACTGGGCTCTTCCAGTAGGTCCCGCATCCCATTCAGTGCTTGGTCTGTGCACAAGTTAAATCGCTTGCACAGTCGCTTAACTTGTTCTTCACCATGGCGGATGCTGGGCTTTGATGGCCACTTACTCTGATCAAGGATGCTGAGGTCCATGATGGTCTCATCTTCAAAAGACAAGCGTTTCTCCAGATTGTTCACAAGGCTTTGTAAGAACTGGCCTGGATTGATAGACTTCAGCTTTGCATTTGTTTTCAGGGCTATAGACCGATACTCCCCAGTCTGTTTTGCTTCTAAAGCCTCACTATATTTCTCACCTGGACTCTCTTTGAATGACTGGATCACTCTGATTGAGCGTTTCAGCAGATGCTCTGCTCTGAGGAGCGTTATAGAACGAGACTGAAGCTCCTGTGACAGGAGACTTAGTTCATGGAGAGTGTCGTACATGAGGCCAAGGTCACAAATGAATTCTGGACTTTGAACACGGTCTAACAAACCTCTGTACATCTGCCTCTCTTTGGTGGACCTCATCTCATCACTGCAAGCATTTTTAAAGTGCTGCACAAGAGCTCCCAGGGATGTCCAAACAGCACGAACAGTCCGAAAGCTACTGGCCACCCAGCGTACATCCAAGATTCTGCCAATGCGAAGAAGTTGTGAGCCTACTTCAGCTGCTGCATTAACAAGTTCACGTTCATTTTTGTTTGACACACTATACAGAGAGTATAGCTTCTGGATAAAAGTTTTAAAGTGATTGACAGAGTTTACCTCATCAACTGCATCTGACACAGCAAGTTCAAGTCTATGGTTCATGCAGTGCCATACAAAAAGCTTTGGGAATCTCAAAGTCAGTCTGGTTGCTACTCCTGACTTCTTTCCTAGCATGACACTGGCTCCATCAGATACAAATGTTACCCAGTTTTCATGAAGCCACTCTTCTGTAAAGCCAGCATTAGTTAAACAGGTGAGTAACGCCTGTAATATGCCATCTGCTCTCTGATTTTCCAGTTCAACAAGTTCCAGGAATATGAACTCAGGGCTTTCTTCTTGAATTGATGCTTTAATAGAAACTGTCATGACAGCTTTGTGACTTAAAGAAGATGCCTCGTCAATTAGGACAGCTAACTTACTGGATGATGCTATAATGCTACTGATGATTTTGCTCTGCATCTCACTAGCAACATGTTGTATTATTTGTGTTGCACTGTAACGTGAATGAAGTATTGAGCCCATTTTTACACCATTCAGTTCCTGCAGCTCAATGAGGCTCTCATGGTCAGAAAAGGGTCGGTTCTTTTTGGCCAGATGGTAGGCTGTTCGAAACACAGCTTCAGTTTCCTTCATGTAGGACTCAGTCATAGTCTCCACTGTATTCTCAATGGCAGCTTCTTTCTGTTGCTCTGCCACCTTCACAGCCTGAGTGTGGGCCTTGGACAACGCATGTTTCCTCACCTTATTTCTCAAGATTGACAAACTTGTTGTTCTACTTCCCTGGCCAGACACTTGAATTTCAAAGTTCATCCATTCTCTTGAGAGCGATACACCTTGCTCCTTGTCGATCCCAATGGAGTTCACACTGCTACAGACCAGACATCCTGCGAAGCATAAACAAACAATGTAACTACTCCTGTATCCACAGCTGTACGTGTGCATGGTCCTTTACACACACACACACACACACACACACACACACACACACACACACACACACACACACAAAGTTATCTGTGCCCACTGTTTCAGAAGTTACCCAAACTAGCAATCTACCTAAACTTACCCAATTTTTTGTTTTTGGATCCCAACCAGGGGTTCTTGGATTTGAAGTCTTCTGTTTGTTTAGCACTCCACAGGTCTGGCCAGTCATTATTGATGTCTACAGACAACAACAAAACTAATTATGCATCTCCCTGTCTCTCTCTCTCTCACACACTTACACACACACACACACACACACTACTGTGATCACAATAGTCATCAGCAAGACATGGGTCCCCCTCTTTACATTAACAATCTGCATAACCAAGTGGAAATATTTTCAGCAAGTGAAGCTGAAGCATACAGGAGATTAGTGAGTGAAATACTTGGGAGAGTTTATTTAACAAAAAAACAACAAATTTAACACAAAATGTACAAAATGTTATATAACAGTAGCATTGTAAAAAACAAACATGGATACAGACAAAATAAATAGAAGGGCAATAAAATAAATAACATCACACAGAAATTCAAAATGAGGCTTAATCTGTCAAAATCACCTTTTGTTACAGTGTGAGGCTTCACTTTTCAATAAACTGGAGATGCAATTTACTGCCTGTGTGTTCTGACCTGGTGGTGGTAGACTGGATCCTTCTCTATGCTCACACTGACTTGCCTGGCTAGCTCCCGGTTGAGAGCTGCCAGGGCTGCTGGTTTTAGGGGTGGGGTCTGCCTGGGCCTGATCTGGGCCTGATTTGTGCCTCTTTACAAAAAAGTCTGCAATATCTCCCTTCCTTTTCATGGTTACCTGTCCCTATACAAAATAAGACAGCCTGATTAGACCTCAATATTGTTTTAGGCTGAATCTTAAACTATTTGTCCCCATTCTTGTGTTTTAACTTACTTAAAAATCAACTACCAGCTTAGCTACTATGCAATTAAACTAGATCATATAGGTTAGTTAGGGCTAAGTAACTTGGCTAATGTTATAATTTAGGGCTTAGTAACTTGGCTAACGTTATAATTTAGACCTTTACAATAATAAACAAGCTTCATAAACATTGAGATAATCAGTTTCATCAGTCTGGTATGAAATTCTTATGAACTGGGTTGATTAAACACTTACTGAAAACCAACAATGCCCCGGTTTCCCCACATTATCCCAATCTACGTAGCTAGCTTCATAACGTTAGCCGACTCGCACTAACTATTGGCGGCAACATCTCTTCTCCTCTAAATGTGCAGTCACTGGCAATTTGCCAGTAGTTTAAAATAATGATTCATTTGGAAACCACCTTAAAACTTACCTCAGAATGATGTCTTCCATCAACTGGGGTGGCACACCGCCGCTTGTGTCCTTTCTTCATCCGTTGTTTGGTCTGCTGCCGTTATCGTAGTCAAGTGGCACCGGCACCTGAGTTTTTTTTGTTTTTTTTTTCACTGGCACCTGAGGTATTAGCGATATTTTCCTCGGCATGACCCGCCCTACTCTGCCTCTGATTGGCTCATCAGTCCTCATGCCTAAAGTTAACCAATCTAATCAGTGAAAGCAGCGAGTACCAGCCAATTAGAGGCAGAGGAGGGTGGGTCATGGCTTCACTATCCCCGAGGAAGAAAATAGGCAATCTGACTCACAGATATTACTGAATGATGCGCATCAGGGGGGATTTAGAAGTGGGTATACGCAATGCTGACTGAAAAATAAGTAGGTATACGCCGTATACCAGCGTATACCCTGGACTACACCTCTGTGTACAACCAAAATATAGTCAAAACCTTCTATTTTGCTACCATTTAGATTAGAACAGACAGATAGTGCTATGGGCACGTGTCGTTGTTTTTTCCCCATAGTTTGCCTTAAAGCTACAATCCTTAATTCGTTTTCAGCCAAACAGCACTGAAGCCCAGCCACTTTTTGCTATAGGGTTATTACTAAGGGATTGGGTTGGCTCTATGGTGAGCAAACCATAGAGCCAACTAATTTTATGGATTTAGAATAATTTTTTAGTGAATGCTTATGGCAAAACTGTTTTATTTTAAAATCGTAGCATTTATTTTGCCACATGAAAAGATTGATACCCCCCACAAAGACAGACACACGCGCACCTCTCTGTTACGTCATGTACAACCATTGTGTAGCCTACAACATAGCCTACATGACGTATTACAGTAAGGACAAGTTTGGTTTCCTAAACCATCCATCATAATCTATTTACATCTGACCATATAAAATTGTATGAGCAATTCAACACTGAGATGGTTGAATAAAAGGTAAGTGTCTTCCTTCAATGTTATTTATTGAAAGCTATGGCTATATTTCAAAATATTTCTTACTCTGCCTAATACAAAACATAGTCAAAACCTTGTATTTTGATACCATCTAGATCAGAACGGACAGATAGTGCTATCGCCCATGTCATTATCCCCCACTAGTTTGCCTTAAAGCTACAATCTTTAATTAGTTTTTTCAGCCAAACTGCAGCCCCGCCACTTTTTGCTATAGGCCTATTACTGAAGGATGGGGTTGCACGAGAGACGACCGCTGTCCACTGCCCTGTGGTGCTGAACGTCAGATCGCGGGATTCCGATTCAGGCGAGGTCAGTTAAAATGATTCTGAAACTGAATCTCCAATCGCGTCTGTTTTCTTGTTGTTTAGGTAGGCCTACTTTAACACCATCGGGTTTTTTGCTGACAGCTGTGACAAAGTCACCACATGGTTTGTTGACATAAAGAACTGTGAGCGATGAGTAATAGCAGAAATCTTTTTTTGAAATCAACCAAGTTTAACTTCTATTAGGTTGACTTGCAGGTGATGTTGACTAGCAGGTGATTAAGGAAATATATCACATAGGCCTAGCTGTGATATTGTCGCGTAGGTCTAACTGTGGATGGAACCAGTTATTATTATGCCTAATCAGAGGGGTTGGGTTAAATGCGGAAGACACATTTCGGTTGAATGCAATTCAGTTGTGCAACTGACAAGGTATCCCCTTCCTTTCATATAGGCCTTATTATTACTGCAACCGAGATTGTTGTTATCACATTAGGCTATTTTTAATGGTTGCATTCAAATTCCTGTCCAGGGCCACCCGTTGTCCACTATGCCATCATTATGACGTCAATAAGGTCAACACCATAGAATTAGGCATTAGAATGCTTTTATTTAATAGGATCTCTAATGGCCAACACCTGTTTGAGTACTTTGGCTGCAGTTCAGACCCTTCTCTGCTGTGTCCTTGGTGCAGACTGTGGTTAGATGGCATAGCATATAACTAGAACACATTTCTGCACGTTTTGGTTTCGTTTGACAAATTCATTCAAAGTCAGATGAAAAGGAGGTAGGTCTATTTTGGAAGCTTTGTGTTACAGTCTTATTAACACAACATTTTACAATGTCTACAGATAAAAAGCTTCATGGGTTAAAACACTTTTAATGACCTCCATTTTAAGGACAACTGTAGTAGGCTAGCTATGATGATTATAACAACAACACTTGATTATAACAGGACTTGGAATATAGCCATCAGGAGAAAGGGATGGAAGAGGAGGTGAAGGAAGAGGAGCCAGATGCTCAACTAAAGGAAGAGAAGAAGGTAAGATTGGTCTTCTGGTCATTTTATTTTATTTTGCTAGGGTATAATCTATCTTGTTTCATTTTACAAACTTGATTCAATGTCAGATGAAAATGAGGCAGGTCTATGTCTTTCGACAGCTTCACAGCTTTTCAACAGAAAGTTTACAGAATCTCTACATATTAAAAAAAAAAACTCATTACTTTCATTTTTAACACTGTATAGGAGAGGAAGAATGAGAGGAAGGTATGATTGGTCCTCTGGTCTCTTGGGTTCTTTGCTAGGTTTGAATCTATCTGGCTATCAATTGGCTAAATAATAGGCTGCTTTGACTTGATGTTACAAATAATAATGTGGGATTTGAAAACTGTATTCTTGAAGGCCAAATGGAAATCAAGTGCCAAGAAGAAATCAGCTGACCAGGGCACTGAAGAAGGTTAGAGATTTTTCTATATGAAACTATTTCTTTTCCCAGTACATGTACTGTTTGGTTAGTGTGCCCTTTGTTGTGCAGATTCATTATAAAAATAAAACAATATTCATATTTATTTTAGGTCCCTCAGTTGCATTCTGTTCACCCAGAGCTCAGTCTCCAGATAAATACCAAAACAGAGCGGCAGTAATTCAACTCTTACAGGAGGAATTACGCAAGAGTCTACTTCACCCCTCAGGAATGGAAGAGGACGTCTGCTTCCCAATCCTCATCAATTTCATGAGGAATCTTACTGAAAGGTATGCTCAAAATCTTTCATTAGTGTGCATTCTTTATAAAACAACCCTGGCTGAACCACTACAAAACCACTACATATGCTAACTTGTGTCTTTATCAGGCAGTGGAAGGTGATTCAGGAGGGCATGAGAAATCCTGTAAGTTTATCTTTCAACATTTGATGTGTGATTATTTGATAGAAAGTTGTACATGAAGTTTATCATATTGACTAACTAAGCACTTGACAACACAGCCCCTCAATAATAAATATTCTGCTTTTTTTGTATTGAAACAGACAACCAAAGTACACCTTGCCAAAATGTGTCGGAAGATAGCGAAAACAGTTTCCCATATAGCGGTAGAGATCCTCATCCCGACCCTTGCACAAATATTAGAGCTTGATGCCGCTAAGGAAGCTAGCTCCTCTCCCTCGCTGACTGGATCATTGTGCGCCAACAATGCAAGCATCCAGGAACATGTGGTGAAATTTAATGAACAAGGTCTACCTAAGTGGCCTGGCAGTGGAAAGTCCCTGTGCAGTCAACGGGTCAAGACTCCCTACTCCTCCGCCACTGATTTTGAGCAGTCACACATGGTGACGTTTGATGACAAAGATCTATCCACAAGGCCTAGCAGTGGAAGGTCTCTGTGCAGTCAACGGGTCAAGACTCCCTACCCCTCATCCACTGAATTTGAACAAAGTCTGGAATTGATCCGCGAACACAGTTACCACAAAAGAGAATTGAGGACAAGCGGCAGTGGCACACATTATTATAGGTATGTTATAGGTATGTTCACCAACCACACTTCAACTGTGTGCCTGACCCAACTGATCTTAGCACCATATACATACTTACTTCAGGCTAACTTATTCACATATTACACAGCATTTGACAGTTCTAAGAATGAAAAGCTAAATAACTACTGTTTTTATGGTAAAGTAATAAAGCAGACACCACATCTTTAGAGAACGAAATATTACAATTATTGTGATTTAGGTGAATTTAAAGTATTGATTTGTAGAGATCAATATGTAAATATTATATAAGATTGATCAATTATTGTGTTTGTGTTGAAGTTCACAGACCTTGTTGCAGAGGGCACATGGAGGAGAGGCTCGACTGACAGATCCTCTGAATGCCCTCTTTGGGATCACAGAGAACACAATTCTCCAGGCGCTGGGTGATCAATCCTGCTCTTCTGGCTCACCTGGATTGACCAGATCTGTGGTCAGAGAGGTCGTGAGTCAGGTTAACTCTGACATCTCACTGATTATCTCCTGTTCCAGCTCAGGTAAATCAAGCCCAGTGTTGTGTGACACTGGCAGGCGATATGCCATGCAGGCCGCCCAGAAGCTGGTGTCTGTTATCTGTGCCAAGCTGCGGAGGTTTGGATTCACGGGACAGGCTGCGCCTCAAGCCAAAACCAATCCATCTAAGGAGAATGTGGACATTGAGGCTTCCCTTGCATCGTTGACAGGAGAGGTCATGGCTGTTATGGTCAACTCCGGAGAATGCCAGGAAGGAGAGCAAGGAACAATGGATGCGCTTCGAGAAATCGCACACAAAGTCCAATTTTTGGCTTCAAGAGATAGTGTTTGTGGTCTTCTGGAAGACTCCCTAGAAGAGAAAATATCTCTGAAAGAGACTGTATCCTCTGGCAGCATGGCGAGTCAAAACATGCTCATATTTTCACCTTCTGAGAAAATGCTTAGATCTCCTGTAATGTCAACCATTGAGAAATTATCCTGTGTTGAACTGAAGTCAGAAGCCACTAAAGCTATTAGCGAAGTGCTCATTAGGTCTAGTAGAAGTCTATCTGCACAAATGTCTGCTTGCACACCTGAGCCTTCAAGTAATCTGGCCAGTGAAAGGAATCTGCCAGCTATGCCAGAAGAACATTTAACATCTACAATTAATATAGGTTCTGAAGCCTCTGAAATTATGGATTCCTTTCTGAGTGATATGAAGTGTATCGCACAATCAGATTTCACAAAATTGGAAGCTCTGCCCGTGGCCCTTAACCTTGCTAAAAAGTTACAGAATATGCTGAGGGGACTTTACTCTCGACTTTTGGCCCCTAAAAGCTCAGATCGAGACAAAGAGGAGAATCTAGAGCAAGCTAAAAACATTTCTGCTCCTACTTTGATCCAAAGGTCTTTTGGATCCAACAAGAGTGAGCCCATGCTTCCAGGGGTCATCTCACCAGGAGCAGTGGCTCTTTGTAGAGGTCAGAGCGAAAGCTCCAGACCTATGATGGCTCTTAGCCCTCAGATCATTCAGCTTCACCTCGACTCTACCACTAAGGAGGTTATGAGCACAATTGTGTCATGTTTCAAGCCAGAGGTTCCTGAGGAGGAATTGACATATTCAGATGAAAAAATGTCATCGGATACATCCCTTTTGGCCACTGAGTTTGTGGACCACATCATAGCTTGGTTAAAGGACATCTCTGCCGCAAGTTCCGCAACTTCTTCATCAGAGAGTTTGTGCGTTTCTCCTAATGCAGTACTTTGCAAACTCACTAGTGAAACATTTCAGACACAGGCAGCGAAACGAGTGAAACAAGTCCTAAGTAAATCTGTCAGGTGCTTTTCCAACTTGGGAAGTTCCAGCCGATCAGAGTCCCACACTAGTTGGGTCAGTCAATCTGATTTTGGCATTCTACAGGATTCCTCCTCAACTTCCTCTATGAGCTTTGACTCATCTGCTTTTGGTGTTGTTGCAACCGTTGTGAAAGACATGAAGAGCCTGTTGCAGACTACCGAATCAACTGATAGTCTAGAGCCAACTGATTCTGCCCTTCTACATGGTACCTCAAGTTATTCTGAGACTTCAAGCAAGAGCTGGCAAAGTGGTGTTCCCATTTCTGATTTTAAACTTTGGTCTACAGCACAGACTATTTATAGGCACCTGCGGAACAACTTGAGAGAGTTTTTCACCCGGCATCATCAACCAGATGTAAAAACCACAGATGCAACCATGGCGCAAGCCAAGAAAAGCATCAGCCAAATCTTGGTTGCCATCCAAGAGGACATGAGCAGGTCGGAGGAATTGATGACCTCAGGGGAGCTGGTGCAACTCCATGACATTGTGGGAACAATGCTGGAGGGTGTGGAGACAGTTTGCAGTGAGGGTGATAAAGAGCAGGAGTGGCAAGAGCTTCAAAGACCTTCATCTTCTTTATCTACTGCTTCAAAAGGCTCAAGGTCTCAGAGATTGGACAATACTCACACTCTCCCAGGAACTCCAATGTCAACTGAGTTACTGGACAATAGCTTCCCTGTCGTTAGAAGCACATGTATTGATGCAAGAGATGATATTGGGGCCTCATTGAGTGACCTAAGAAAAACCCTGAATGGTGTGGTGAGCTTCATCATTGAAAATCTTGATCCTGAAGTGCTGCAGCAGACCACTTCTCCAGACTCTGATCTAACACGTCTTGAAGAACTTATCTCAAAGGAGAAGATTCACTCATTGTGCCATGACCTTGTTGATCAACTTGAGAGCCTCATTTGGGAGCAGAACAGCATCCCACTAATCAATTCGGTGGCAGTCGCTAAGTGTGTCTCTGACACAGTTTTGCTTAACCTTGCAAGGAGGGAAAACCAAGTGGGGAAACCCTTCTCCTCCAAACTCATCTACATGTTCGCTGAGGAGTCAGTGAAGCGATTGCTGCTTCCTTTGATCTTCCCTCCTTCATCATGGGGGTTGGATCAGGAAGCCTCCCTTCATGATGTTCCATCGAGAGCATCTAGTCGCCGCAGCTCAAGTTCCACTACTTCTGGAGTGACTGTACTTGATGGTTGTAGCTCTCTGGTGTCTGGCAGTTCCTCGCAGATTTACGACGACACAGTGAATCTGTTCACAAGAGCGATCTGTTACCAAGTGATGAACAACATGTCTGGGGCCTCTAGTCACACAATGGAGGACAACATCCATGACAGAGACGCATCCGTCATTGCCATTGGGTCTGTGGAGCAGGCTCAGAGTTATTCTAGTTATCCTCAGGCTGTGAATCAAGGCATACGGAGGTTCAGATTCCTCCCAAAGATCTCCAAGTTCAGAATCAACCTCAAGGTACACCAGAAATGGGTCTAAGTTAAATGTTATTATTGAGTTTTGTTGTAAGTATTTGGTGTTCATTACTTACTGTTGGGTATCTTACTACACAATATGAAAACCTCTCAATGGTATTACTTTATACTTGTTTTGTTTTCCATTAGTAACCCTGTGAATTGCTGTTGTATAAATTATGGCGTTTTAAGAATTACATTCAGTAAGACACATTTGATTTTGAAACAATAAGTTCTTCAAGCAGAGCAACAAAAACGAGGGACAGCCCTCAGAGGAAGCTCAGGACCAGATTAAGGTTCCCTGTGAAGAGGAGCATTGCATATGTAAGTCTAACTGATAATTACAATTTTATCACAGTTTGGTTTGTATATAAAAGGGATAATATTTCCCAGTTCCACAACATTAGCAACATGAACAATGCTTGAAGAGCACACAATCATTTTTAAACCTAAAGTCCATGTAGGCTTGTAGACTTAAGTTCATGCCAACTTTCCCCTTCGGTCTCTAGCACCCTGCATAGTGCCAAAGGCTGTCACGGCTTCACTTCAGGAGAGTTGTCCCTCCACTTCTCAACCCGAGGAGAAGAAACACAAACCCTCCATCTTTGTCAGGATGTTCTCAGCCATCAACAAAGGCCTTCACAACACCTTCAAATGTACATCTAACAAGAAACAATTGTTACAACCAGTAACAACACCTAATTAATCAAATAAAGACTTACTGCGTTCAATTAATTTCCATTGTAATCTTTTCATGTTTTTTTTCTCACAAAAAGAAACTGTAAAATTAAATGTAACTCACTTGGTTAAATGTATTTCAAAATAGAGTATTAATGCTGCTTGAGTGGGAACCCTGGATGGGATATGATACCAACTACTGATTGTCACTAGAGCATTAGGCTCTGAAAGTTAAAGAAGTAGTTCACCAATCAGATGTTCAACAAATACTTTATTTATCAGTTTGCATTTGCTTCAGCATTGTCAATATTAAGAGAACGCTGTCAATGGGGGCCCTGAAAACCTTTTACCTCAGTTTATTGGAAAACCAATATGATATGAACCTGCAAGGAACCTGTAACATCATGCTTTTGAGATATCTAGGATAAATACAAAAATAATATACAGAAACATATGCACTGTAGCCTACATCGAAAATTGCCAACTCTGAAAAATAATACACAATATAAAATGGAAAGGACATGTTGAGAAATTATTCTGAAAACAATCAAATCAAATTTTTTTTGCCACATGCGCCGAATACAACAGGTGTAGACCTTACAGTGAAATGCTTACTTATAAGCCCTTAACCAACAATGCAGTTTTAAGAAAAATAAGCGTTAAGTAAAAAATAGATAAGTAAAAAATAACAAATAACAAATAATTAAAGAGCAGCAGGAAAATAAAATAACAGTAGGGAGGCTATATACAGGGGGTACCGGTACAGAGTCACTGTGCGGGGTCACAGGTTAGACGAGGTAATTGAGGTAATATGTACATGTAGGTAGAGTTAAAGTGACTATGCATAGATAATAAACATAGGGGGTGGGGTGGGGGGACAATGCAAATAGTACGGGTAGCCATGATTAGCTGTTCAGGAGTCTTATCGCTTGGGGGTAGAAGTTGTTAAGAAGTATTTTGGACCAATGTATGGCTTATCACATGCTGCCTTCAGAGGTAAAGTCTCACCGGAGATAAATAATAATTTTCAACATCATAGGATTTGGCGACAATAATGAATCTGTGAAAGTCAATCCACTGGTATTCAAAGAAAACCTCACAGAATAGTAAGGCATGGTAAACCATAACCTCAAATTCTATCTAGACTACAGAGAGCTCAATCTGTGAGAGTCAATCCTCTGAGGTTCATAGAAGAAGGAAATGTTTACAGTGGGGAAAAAAAGTATTTAGTCAGCCACCAATTGTGCAAGTTATCCCACTTAAAAAGATGAGAGAGGCCTGTAATTTTCATCATAGGTACACGTCAACTATGACAGACAAAATGAGAAAAAAAAATCCATAAAATCACATTGTAGGATTTTTAATGAATTTATTTGCAAATTATGGTGGAAAATAAGTATTTGGTCAATAACAAAAGTTTCTCAATACTTTGTTATATACCCTTTGTTGACAATGACACAGGTCAAACGTTTTCTGTAAGTCTTCACAAGGTTTTCACACACTGTTGCTGGTATTTTGGTCCATTCCTCCATGCAGATCTCCTCTAGAGCAGTGATGTTTTGGGGCTGTTGCTGGGCAACACAGACTTTCAACTCCCTCCAAAGATTTTCTATGGGGTTGAGATCTGGAGACTGGCTAGGCCACTCCTGGACCTTGAAATGCTTCTTACGAAGCCACTCCTTCGTTGCCCGGGCGGTGTGTTTGGGATCATTGTCGTGCTGAAAGACCCAGCCACGTTTCATCTTCAATGCCCTTGCTGATGGAAGGAGGTTTTCACTCAAAATCTCACGATACATGGCCCCATTCATTCTTTCCTTTACACGGATCAGTCGTCCTGGTCCCTTTGCAGAAAAACAGCCCCAAAGCATGATGTTTCCACCCCCATGCTTCACAGTATGTATGGTGTTCTTTGGATGCAACTCAGCATTCTTTGTCCTCCAAACACGACGAGTTGAGTTTTTACCAAAAAGTTATATTTTGGTTTCATCTGACCATATGACATTCTCCCAATCCTCTTCTGGATCATCCAAATGCACTCTAGCAAACTTCAGACGGGCCTGGACATGTACTGGCTTAAGCAGGGGGACACGTCTGGCACTGCAGGATTTGAGTCCCTGGCGGCGTAGTGTTACTGATGGTAGGCTTTGTTACTTTGGTCCCAGCTCTCTGCAGGTCATTCACTAGGTCCCCCCGTGTGGTTCTGGGATTTTTGCTCACCGTTCTTGTGATCATTTTGACCCCACGGGGTGAGATCTTGCGTGGAGCCCCAGATCGAGGGAGATTATCAGTGGTCTTGTATGTCTTCCATTTCCTAATAATTGCTCCCACAGTTGATTTCTTCAAACCAAGCTGCTTACCTATTGCAGATTCAGTCTTCCCAGCCTGGTGCAGGTCTACAATTTTGTTTCTGGTGTCCTTTGACAGCTCTTTGGTCTTGGCCATAGTGGAGTTTGGAGTGTGACTGTTTGAGGTTGTGGACAGGTGTCTTTTATACTGATAACAAGTTCAAACAGGTGCCATTAATACAGGTAATGAGTGGAGGACAGAGGAGCCTCTTAAAGAAGAAGTTACAGGTCTGTGAGAGCCAGAAATCTTGCTTGTTTGTAGGTGACCAAATACTTATTTTCCACCATAATTTGCAAATAAATTCATTAAAAATCCTACAATGTGATTTTCTGGGAACATTTTTTTTCAATTTGTCTGTCATAGTTGACGTGTACCCATGATGAAAATTACAGGCCTCTCTCATCTTTTTAAGTGGGAGAACTTGCACAATTGGTGGCTGACTAAATACTTTTTTCCCCCACTGTATATCTGATAAACAACTCACAGAATAGTAGGTTAAAGCATCACTGACATGGGCCTCTAGTCTAACTCACATAACTCAGCTGTGGTCTTAAAGCAATGAAGCCAGAACCCATGATAGAGGGGCTGAGTGAATGTGGTCACTGTGGAGGAGGGTCATTTTGTCAGAGACACTGTAGAAGGACAGAGTGCCGGCCTGGTGATCCAGGTACTAATTATAGTTCTGTGATTGTTACACAGCATTAGACACACAAACACAAACACACACAATAACAACTACAGACACTCATGAATAAATAACATGTTTATTCACTCTTTTCACTTCACTGACACAGAGCAGGTATTCCAGGGTTATCCTTAATTATAAAGGCCTTTCTAGATATACAGTTGTAAACATGCTTATACGGTAGGCCTAACTAACTGAGTTGCTGTGTGTCTCTACAGTCTCTCTATCATGTGTCTTTATAGTCTGTGCAGGCTATGTGTGCTTGCGTACGTGTGTGTGTGTGTCTGTCTATGGCAGCTCCATCATGTTGTGTTCTTCCAGCATGCTCTGTGTGCGTGTGTATACCTCTCTCATAACGTTTAGAACCGTGTTGAGCACCGGCCCAACCTCTTCCTCTTTTCTCACACAAACTATGTCCAGGAACACTCTTCTGTCTGGCAGAGCTACAAACACCAGCTCAGCCGCCCTGCGGATCAACCAGGGGTGATGGGGGGCCAGGGCGACGGTGTACGCATCCCTAGGGAACAGGGGCAAGGTTAGTGTGTGTGTGTGTGTGTGTGTGTGTGTGTGTGCGTGAGAGAGCAGGCATCTGTGTCCACGCTGCTGGGAAGCTGGCATGGCCATCAGGCTATGGGTAGTGTGGGACTTGGTCTTCAATAATTTAGTGAGATTGTAAACTAACCTTTTGAGTGTGTGTGTGCAAGTGTGTGTATGTGTTCTGTCTAAAGGATACCTGCAGAGCTCCCCAGGGGTGCGGTAAGCCCCCTGTGCGTCCGGTCCCTCCCCAAGGCCTTGCAGTAGCAGCAGGATCCAGAGCAGGGAACGGTGGAGCCGCAGCAGATTTCTGCACCCGGAGCGCGTCCGTACATTGAAGTTCACCAAGCCCCTTTGCAGCTCCGACTCCACCATGGAACGCACTGATCTGTAGGCCGCTGGGCCTTGTAGTCCAGATGGGGGAGTTTGTAGTCCAGAGTGTCCCTCTGCTGGACTACGTTTCTCATGGTCCACTTTCTCCTGCTGGGCCAGCTCTCTGATGACAGCGATCTTATCTTTGACCTTCTGAGAGAAAAAACTGACCAGAGGGCCGAGAGATTCCATAAACCTAGAGAGAGAGAGCGAGAGAGAGGAGTGGGGAATGAATGTAGAGCCCTTCACCTAACAACTCCTTACTGTATCATTCATGGCAAGTTTAAAAGGTGTTCTCCTTATAAACACTCTCACACACACACACACACACGCCATACTTGATGAGTTCGTCCCAGCTGTAGAGGTAATGCTCCAGCAGAACGTCGTCAGAGTGCGTAGCCATGGAAGAGGTTAGGTGGGACATGAGACGCCACACCTGGAACTGTTGACCTGGACACACATGGAGAGGGGGCACGGAACCCAATACTACACCCCTCTCACCATGCTGTCCCCCACTCTGCACCCCTCCTGGATGAGGAATAACAGGGGTCTCCGGCTGGAACAGGAGAGAGAGAGAGGGAGAGAGGCGGAGAAGATGAATGCACAAAGCGAGAGGTATCATCTACACTACATGACCAACAGTATGTGGACACCCCTTCAAATTAGTCGATTCGGCTATTTCAGCCACACCCGTTGCTGACAGGTGTATAAATTGAGCACACAGCCATGCAATCTCCATAGACAAACCCTGGCAGTAAAGCTGCCCTGGTCAACTGTAAGTGCTGTTATTGTGAAGTGGAAACTTTCAGGAGCAACAACGGCTCAGCCGTGAAGTGGTAGGCCACACAAGCTCAAAGAACAGGACCGCCGAGGACGACATTGTCTGTCACCATGCGCAATGCCAAGCGTTGGCTGGAGTGGTGTAAACTCGCCGCCATTGGACTCTGAAGCAGTGGAAATGCGTTATCTGGAGTGATGAATCACGCTTCACCATCTGGCAGTCGGACGTACGAATCTGGGTTTGGCGGGTGCCAGGAGAACACTACCTGCCCCAATGCATAGTGCCAACTGTAAAGTTTGGTGGAGGAATAATGGTCTGGGGCTGTTTTTCATGGTTCGGGCTAGGCCCCTTAGTTCCAGTGAAGGGAAATCTTAACGCTACAGCATACAATGACATTCTAGACGATTCTGTGCTTCCAAATTTGTGGCAACAATTTGGGGAAGGCCTTTTCCTGTTTCAGCATGACAATGCCCCTGTGCAAAAAGCGAGGTCCATACAGAAATGGTTTGTCGAGATCGGTGTGAAAGAACTTGACTGACCTCAACCCCATCGAACACCTTTGGGATGAATTGGAACGCCGACTGCGAGCCAGGCCTAATCGCCCAACATCAGTGCTCGACCTCACTAATGCTCTTGGCTGAAAGGAAGCAAGTCCCAGAACCAATGTTCCAACATCTAGTGGAAAGCCTTCCCAGAAGAGTGGAGGCTGTTATAGCAGCAAAGGGGGGACCAACATATTAATGCCCATGATTTTGGAATGAGATGTTCGACGAGCAGATGTCCACATACTTTTGTAGTGTATTTTCTATTTATTTTTATTATGTATTCAAATCTTTCACTTTGTTTTACACTACAATATAAATTATAGAATGACTAACTACTAACTGTTAAGACATTTCCCTACAGGCTAAATCATGTGTGTGTACTCACTGTTGGACGGTAGAAATTGAAACTCAGACAGGGGTGCCAGGAGGTCTCACAATCACCCATAGCAATCTGAGCTGAAAGCGAGAGAGACACGTGTATGTCACATTATACACACACAGCCACACGGAGAACAGTTTCAGCTAAACCCTATGGTTAAAGTGGAAACTCACGGAGCCAGAAAGAACTGAGGAAGAGCAGCAGAGCCATGATGGAGGCTGGCAGCAGGTAGCGTTGCAGTCGCCCATTAATACCCATCTTGTCTACACAGACAGGTACTGTCCTGATGAACACAGACACACTCAGTAGACCACCCCTCACATACTGGTAGGTCACCTCGTCCCCAGGCTAATCGCTACAGAGAGAGATCCGGCTGGGGAATACGACTAACTGGTAGTAAACGCTATCCCCTAGAAGTATTTCTCTATATCTGTCATCTCCCTTTCGCCTTCTCCCTCTACTCTCTATGCAGCTTACACGATTTCTAGTATTGTTTTCCTTTCCCTCTCTTTCTAAATGTATTACAGTAAAGACACACTTCCTATTTAAGCCACACCTCCTGGAACACTATGTACTTGACCTTTAACCTTTGGCTCTTATCTCAACCGCCGTTTCATCACCCCTCTATCAACACACACATGCGCGCACGCACGCACACACACACACACACACACAGTCCCTGTATCTCATGATATCTCTAGACTCTGGCCATGGGTTGGATCTTATCAGTGAAGTGACACACAATACAGAGACCAACAAGTGTGTTATGATACATGCAATCATTTATTTTTTGCAGAGAGAGACATGCCTCACCTCACCACATTACTCTCCATGTCTTAAATGAAGAGTTACAGTGTGTGTGTGTGTTACAGTGTGTGTAAGTGTGTCGGTTGGCATTGTGTCTATGATGTTAGTGTGTTGGCAGTGGCACATGGCAGTATTGATAGTGTTTGGTCATTTGTCATTCAGTTCTCAACTCCAGGCCCCGGCGGGCCACAGTACTGCTGGTTTTCATTATTTTCAATTACATTATATAGTAGCTGGGGTCATCAGAGGCACTTTAGCTTAGTCTAACGCTTTGTCCCATTAGACAGCCTGGGACCTGCCTGTCTTCTCCCATTAGCCGTGGAGTCTGAGCGGAGTGTCTGGTTGGCTGCTCCTGACGCAGTGGCAGGGATAGGAGTCTGGAGTGCAGAGAGAGAGAGAGAGAGAGAGAGAGAGAGAGAGAGAGAGAGAGAGAGAATATTCACCACAGTAGGTAAATTCTAACATTTTCCCCCAATTCTTTCTGTCCTCCCTCCTGCCAGAGAAGACATTGGTGTGACACACACACACACACACACCTTACCGTTACACCCTTGCCCCGTCCAGAGAAGACAGTGGTGAGTCCTTTAGAGACGGAGACGTGCTTCATAGGACGGGACTGAGACTGACACAGCTCAGTTAGCAGCTCAGGACTGGAGAGAGACAGGAGAGTAGCGCAACCTACACACACACACAAATATTATTGTACACCACTACATTACACACAGCAGCTCTTGACTGGAGAGACACACACACACACATTACTACTGATAGTATACTATAACTACACTACTACTACTAGTATACTATAACTACACTACTACTAGTATACTATAAATACACTACTACTAGTATACTATAAATACACTACTACTATTATACTATAACTACACTACTACTACTAGTATACTATAACTACACTACTAATAGTATACTATAACTACACTACTACTAGTATACTATGACTACACTATTATACTATAACTACAGCACTGCTAGTATTATACTATAACTACACTACTACTACTATTATACTATAACTACACTACTACTACACTATAACTACACTACTACTACTATTATACTACAACTACACTATTATACTATAACTACACTACTGCCAGTATACTATAACTACACAACTACTACTATTATACTATAACTACACCATTATACTATAACTACACTCCTACTATTATACTATAACTACACTACTACTAGTATACTATAACTACACTATTATACTATAACTACACTACTACCAGTATACCATAACTACACTACTACTACTATTATACTATAACTACACTATTATACTATAACTACACAATTATACTATAACTACACTACTTCTATTATACTATAACTACACTACTTCTATACTATAACTACACTACTACTAGTATACTATAACTACACCACTACTAGTATACTATAACTACACTATTATACTAAACTACACTACACATATACATAACTATACTACACTATGTACTATAACTACACTACTACTACTATTATACTATAACTACACTACTACTACTAGTATACTATAACTACACTACTACTAGTATACTATAACTACACTAGTATACTATAACTACACTACTACTACTAGTATACAATAACTACACTACTACTAGTATACTATACTACTACTACTAGTATACTATAACTACACTACTACTAGTATACTATAACTACACTACTACTAGTATACTATAACTACACTACTACTAGTATATTATAACTACACTACTAGTAGTATACTATAACTACACTACTACTGGTATACTATAACTACACTACTACTATTATACTATAACTACACTAATACTACTAGTTTCCTATAACTACACTACTTCTACTCGTATACTATACCACTACTACTACTTGCATACTATAACACCACTACTACTATTATACTATAACTACACTACTAATACTACTAGTATACTATAACTACACTATTATACTATAACTACACTACTACCAGTATACCATAACTACACTACTACTATTATACTATAACTACACTACTACTACTATTATACTATAACTACACTACTACTATTAGTATACTATAACTACACTACTACTAGTATAATATAACTACACTATTATACTATAACTACACTACTACTACTAGTATACCGAATAACTACATACAACTTGGTATACTATACTACTATACCTAGTTATACTATAACTACATACTACTATTTTATATTATAACTACACTACTAGTAGTCTACTATAACTACCACTACTACTAGTATACTATAACTTACACTACTAGTAGTATACTATAAAACTACACTACTACTAGTATACTATAACTACACTACTACTCTTATACTATAAACTACACTCAAATACTACTAGTATCCTACTAACTACACATACTACTACTCGTATAACTATACCACTACTACTACTTGCATACTATACACACCACTACTATATTATACTATAAACTACACTACTACTAACTACTAGTATATTATAAACTACACTATTATACTATAAAACTACATACTACCAGTATACCATAACTACACTACTACTATTATACTATAACTACACTACTACTAGTATACTATAACTACACTACTACTAGTATACTATAACTACACTACTACTAGTATCCTATAATGACACTACTAGTAGTATACTATAACTACACTACTACTAGTGTACTATAACTACACTAATACTACTAGTATCCTATAACTACACTACCACTGCTCGTATACTATACCACTACTACTACTTGCATACTATAACACCACTACTACTATTATACTATAACTACACTACTACTACTACTAGTATATTATAACTACACTATTATACTATAACTACACTACTACCAGTATACCATAACTACACTACTACTATTATACTATAACTACACTATTATACTATAACTACACTACTACTAGTATACTATAACTACACTACTACTACTACTACTAGTATACTATAACTACACTACTACTAATATACTATAACTACACTACTACTAGTATACTATAACTACACTACTACTATTATACTATAACTACACGACTACTACTATTATACTTTAACTACACGACTACTACTATTATACTATAACTAAACTACTGATAGTATACTATAACTACACTACTGATATTATACTATAACTACACTACTACTAGTATACTATAACTACTCTACTAGTAGTATACTATAACTACACTACTACTATTATACTATAACGACACTACTACTACTAGTATACTATAACTACACTACTACTTGTATACTATAACTACACTACTACTATTATACTATAACTACACGACTACTACTATTATACTTTAACTACACGACTACTACTATTATACTATAACTAAACTACTGATAGTATACTATAACTACACTACTGATATTATACTATAACTACACTACTACTAGTATACTATAACTACTCTACTAGTAGTATACTATAACTACACTACTACTATTATACTATAACTACACTACTACTATTAGTATACTATAACTACACTACTATTACTATATACTATAACACCACTACTACTACTAGTATACTATAACTACACTACTACTAGTATACTATAACAACACTGCTACTATTATACTATAACTACACTACTACTAATATATTGTTACTACATTACTACTAGTATACTATAACTACACTACTACTACTAGTATCCTATAACTACACTATACTGTATACATAAAACACTACATATACATAACACACTACTGAAGATACTATAACTCTACTGATATGTACACTATAACTACACTACTATAGTTATCTAAAGACTATATACTACAGTAGCTAGAACTGGAGAGAGACAATCATACTAGATATATACTAGTACACACATGAACGCTAAACTAACACTCACCCCTGAGTGGAGGAGGGAAGGGCGTGGGGGAGGAAGGGGGAGGTGGGGAGGTAAGGGAGACAGGTGAGGGGAGGTGAGACACTTTCAGAGACGTTAGACCACGGAGCTTCCTCGAAACTCAGCCTGACGGGGACTGGAAAGAGAGGTGAGGAGGAGGCAGTGGAGGAGGGAGGAAAACACAAGGAATGAAGGCTTAAGTTTGGTGTTTGCGAGTCTTCAGGAACAGCTCTGGAGCTCTCCTCAAACTCAGTGGGCTGGGGGGAGAAAGGGGTGGGGGGGGAGGAAGGGGGGGGGGGAGAAAGGGAACCAGGGGGATGGGGGAGGTGGAAGTTGGTGTGGAGCGTTTGGGGCAGCTTCCTCAGAATCAGCTGGAGCTGGGGATGGACAGAGAGAGGGGTGGAGGAGGGAGGAGAGGGGAGGGGGAGGAGAAGGGGGACACCGAGGGGGAGATGGGGGGAGAGGGCTTGTGGGGAAGGTTTTGGTGTCTTGCCGAGTCGTTGTCAGGGGAAGCAGCTCTGGGAGCTCTCCTCAGAAACTCAGCCTGGAGCTGGGGACTGGACAGAGAGAAGGTGGGAGGAGGGGAGGCAGGGGGAGGAGGGGAGGAGGGCTGTAGGGAAAGGGTTTGGGGTCGAGCTGAATCCTGGGGCAAAAGTGACGTTGAAGATCTCATCGGAATGATGAGGACTTCTCCGACTGGATGCTGAAGGAGAGGACAAGAGAGAGAGAGACAGAAGAGAGAAAGAATGAGAGGTAGAGAGAGGGGGGGGGGGGGGGGGGTATGATGAGCAGATGTTCTGCAACAGATACTGTTTCATTAAATCACAATAAAATATTCCGATATCTTACCTCTCTCCTCTCCATGGCAGCAGCAGTATCAATGGGGGTCTAGGCTAGAGCCATGCACACAGAGAAACACACACACAAACAACATATTCACACAATAATCTGTGCAGTGTGCACACCTCTAACCCAATCGGTTTTGCGCTCCTCCGAGAACACAGAGTTTGGCCAATCACAGGCTGATGTCTACAGACAGCGTTGAGGGGGATTTTCAGCATCAAATAAATAATATTAAAAAGCGAAAATAAACATAAAAATCATGCTTCTCGGGGAAAACTGCCTATTTGGCTATACCCGGCTGAAATGAAAGCCAGCTATAGCCTATAGTTTATTGTGCGTAATGATCACCGCGCATTGAAAGAGGGATTAATCTGCCCGCGGTCTCTGCCATCCCCCCATAGTGGTTTAGGGTTTAGGTAGGGTAATCGGATCCAAGATCTGTGTTAAAAGGACGACCCATACACCCATTCATTCCAGTCTACTCACCTGGCGCGCTCCAGCGATCGACTAGCTTGACAGCTCGAGGAGCCCCGGGTTCCGCTGCTAGCTTTGCTTGACAGCTGCTCGCGCCACGTTACTGGACTCCCTCACCTGGCAAAGTCTGCGGTGCGAACAGTGACGGATTATTGTACCGAGCCTAGCGCAGTCATCCGCCATTCACACAGCGCTCGATGCAAGCGCAGTTTTCACTCGTTGACAGGAGCGCTCAACCTCCCAGTGCTGTCAACGGGCTCCAAACACACCAAACACACACACAGCCTACTCAGACGTCCTGTCTGTGCCAAATCCAGCGCAACCTTCACTCTCTCCTCCACCGCTAGTCACTATAGTTAGCACAGCCACAAAGTCATAAACCCCGCCTATTTCGACAATTTCTCTTCTTAAAATGATTTTAAACCTAATCGTACCCACCTCACTACTAACCTTATGCCTAACCTTAAATTAAGACCAAAAAGCAATTACTTTTTTTCATGAATATTTACAATATAGACAATGTTGACTTTGTAGCTGGGGTAACTAGTGGAAAACCCTCAATCTGCATGCATTAATAATTGACGTCCCTTTACAGCTGAGGTTCAGGGGTTGTTGCCCTTAATTACCACTTGACCCCCCCCCCCCCCCCCCCCCCAATATAATTATATAGCCTTTTCATAACATGCAATACATTAACATACAATCATATACTTTACCACTGGTAGACTTTAGTCAGTTATGCTGAAGGGTGTGTGCAGTGGTTTCAGAAAAAGGAAGTTGTTTTATTAATCCTCCTGGAAGCGGATAAGCGTACAACCTGTTGTTCCCTCTAGGAACATTCCTCCTAACAGGACAGAGCTTATAAACAAACATGCGCCGAGTGGCGCAGCGGTCTAAGGCACTTCATCTCAGCGCTTGAGGCGTCACTACAGACCCCCTGGTTCGATTCCAGGCTGTATCACAACCGGCCGTGATTGGGAATCCCATTGGGCGGCGTACAATTGGCCCAGCGTCGTCCGGGTTTGGCCGGTGTAGGCGTCATTGTAAATAAGAATTTGTTCTTAACTGACTCGCCTAGTTAAATAAATCAAATACAAACCTGAACCAGGGTACACAGGCTCCGCGTGCGTATGTACACACACGCATAAAGGATTACAAAACACACCGAGTCATAATCAAACATGTTTAATTAAATCATCATAGCAGACAGACAACGATACAGTCCCCTGGGACCCCATATACCTATCCCAGTGGCGTGTATTCACGGATACCAAGGGAAGCCAGCCTTCCCACCCAATTTATTTATCTTTCGTCTCTGTGTTTCATAAATTCACAAGAGGCTGTATGTATCTCACCGGAAAAAGCATCCAGGCGTGCGAAACAGCGCCCCTCTGTCTCTCTACGTGTAGGACATCTATCTGATGCTGTCTGGTCCAAACGAGTATGACATTGTTGCCGCCTGTAGCACTGAATGGAATGCAAGGGAAGCCAGCGAGCATTTGGCCTCCCTTGACAAAAAAAAGTATACAAAATTAGCCAATCAGCATTGAGCTAAACTGAGCGAGCTCAACTGTGAATGGTCCTGGCGCACCAAAAAAATAAAGTGTTAAGGGAAGCCAGCTTGGATTTTGGCATCTCTCCTATCAAATCGCATTGAGAACATACGTCATTGACAGAAACAACTTGAATTGTTGCATCTCGTTGTGTTGTTGTCCTCTGGTGACTAGCTAGCTAGCCAAAGTTGTCCCTTTCCTAAATTAGCCATGGATGGAGATAGGGATTTGGACTTGTGGTTTTACTTAATTCTCAGTACTGGCCAATGATTATAATGGCTATTCTGATTCAACCATTAATTCATACATTGTTGTGCCCCTGGCCTGAGAGGATGGAAGTTCAATATGTAGCTAGATGTAGAAGGCTAATGTTAACTAGCTAACTTTACCCATGAATGGAAGTTAGGCTAGCGTGCAAGCATTTTAGCCAGGTAGCCTAGTACAACAAAAAATAAAAGTGTGTACTGTATGACAGAGCGATATACTTTTTCGTCAACATGAAAGAGAGGAGGATGGCGTTTCTCTACAAGTAGGGTGAGTCAACATATTTTTCTACTTGCACACACACACACAGAAATCAGAACCATGGACAGCCACATCATATTTAGCTTACATTGATTGGACTAAATTATTTTTGGTATCTTTTAGTTGTCACTGTATTAGACTAAGCAGAGGTGATTTGATGATGTTGAAATGGTGCTGGAATAGTGGAGGCAGCTCCTGTTTTCGTTGCAACTTGCGGTAACTCTCTGTGGTTCTAAATCAATAGTTGTTTAGTGGTCCGAAAATGTCAGAAACATTAACTTGCTTGACCATGCTGTAGGCCATGTAACAGAGGTTGCTATCCGGTTTTGTGATAAAACAAAGTGTGGTTGAATTTATTCTGCCACTGTGTCTTCTTATTGTCTCGGCCTATACACTACCGTTCAAAAGTTTGGGGTCACTTAGAAATGTCCTTGTTTTCGAAAGAAAAGCATTTTTTTTGTCCAATAAAATAACATCAAATTGATCAGAAATACAGTGTAGACATTGTTAATGTTGTAAATGGCTATTGTTGCAGGAAACAGCTGATTTTTAATGGAATATCTACATAGGCCTATTATCAGCAACCATCAGTTCTGTGTTCCAATGGCACGTTGTGTTTGCTAATCCAAGTTTATCATTTTAAAAAGGCTAAGTGATCATTAGAAAACCCTTTTGCAATTATGTTAGCACAGCTAAAAACTGTTGTGCTGATTAAAGAAGCAATAAAACTGCCCTTCTTGAGACTAGTTGAGTATCTGGAGCATCAGCAATTGTGGGTTTGATTACAGGTTCAAAATGGCCAGAAACAAATAACTTTCTTCTAAAACTCGTCAGTCTATTCTTGTTCTGAGAAATGAAGGCTATTCCATGCGAGAAATTGCCAAGCAACTGAAGATCTCGTACAACGCTGTGTACTACTCCCTTCACAGAACAGTGCAAACTGGCTCTAACCAGAATAGAAAGAAGAGTGGGAGGCCCCGGTGCACAACTGAGCAAGAGGACAAATACATTAGTGTCTAGTTTGAGAAACAGACGCCTCATAGGTCCTCACCAGTCTCAGCGTCAACAGTGAAGAGGCGACTCCGGGATGCTGACCTTCTAGGCAGAGTTGCAAAGAAAAAGCCTTAATCTTTTCTTTTTATTGGCCAGTCAGATTTTGCTTTTTCTTTGCAACTCTGTCTAGAAGGTCAGCATCCCGGAGTCTCCTCTTCACTGTTGACGTTGAGACTGGTGTTTTGCGGGTACTATTGAATGAAGCTGCCAGTTGAGGACCTGTGAGGCATCTGTTTCTCAAACTAGACAATAATGTATTTGTCCTCTGGCTCAATTTCTCACATGGAATTGCCTTCATTTCTCAGAACAAGAATAGACTGATGAGTTTCAGAAGAAAGTTATTTGTTTCTGGCCATTTTGAACCAGATAATGGGCCTCTGTACACCTATGTAGATATTCCATTAAAAAAATCAGCCATTTCTAGCTACAATAGCCATTTACAACATGAACAATGTCTACACTGTATTGCTGCTTAATTTGATGTTATTTTAATGGACAAAAAATGTGCTTTTCTTTTGGAAAACAAGGACATTTCTAAGTGACCAAACTTTTGAACAGTAGTGTATATCACAATTGCAAGGCATATGAATTAACAGGTTATACAGCAAACAATGCAATAATCACAACACATAGGTTGAAATATGGCTTTTTTTCTGGCTTTCCCAGTGATTTTACCCATGCACCGCTACTGCTTCAGACCATGTTTGTAACTTTCTAGTTGCGTTCCCCATTAGTTCTCTGGTAGTGTTCTCTCCATAGCATCTCTGGTACACGGTCATAACCGTAGCACCGTTCCTGGGTTGTAACATTCTAGACAGCTACAGGTGGAAGAATTTACCATCCACATTCTGTGAGCATGACCAAGTATGGTCAGATGAGCTGTTACAGAGTCATCTTCAGACACCTGATAGAGAGAGAGAGAGAGAGAGAGAGAGATCTGAGTTGTGAGGCTAAGGGTAGTGGGGATAATATACAATACTGTGTATGTGTGTGTGTGTATGGTATTGTGTGTGTGGGGGGCTGTAATGTGTGTGTTCAGTGTGTATGGTAGTGTGTGTGTGGGGGCTGTAATGTGTGTGAAATGTGTGTGTGTGCGATGCATGCATGTTACCTACCTCTCTGTGTGTGTAGACAGCGTGTGGAACAGTGTGTGTGTGTGTTAGAGCTGGGTGATAGGCAATTTATCGCGATATGGATTTTTGTCTATTTGATCCGATAACAATAAATAGAACAATACCTTTATAACATTAATCTGCACCACAGTTTTTATTTTATTATCCTTTAAACTACTACTATTGGTTTTATGGTTGTAGCCATCAATTGTCCCATTAACAATCACCCATATTAGTCAACTTATTTCATTTCAAACTTCACATGTCTCTAGTATAGGCTACTTATCGTAATGAACGATACCAGCAAAATGCCTGTGATAAGTGATCGGTATGGTTGGTGTCGATCATTATCAGTTTATCGTCCCAGCTCTAGTGTGTGTAGTGTAGTGTAGTGTGAGTTACCTGGTCTCTCTGTGTGTGATAAGGCAGCGTGTGGAACAGTAGCGCCCCCCACAGGAGCAGCAGGTGTAGGAGGAGGGGAATCCACAGACGGAGCAGAACAGACGAGGGGGGAGCGAGGAGGGAGGGGCCGCAGCTGACAGGTAATTAGGCTCCTCCCTCTCAGACACGTTCTGCCAATCACAGCACAGCAGGGACAGGGTTAGCCTCTCAGCAAAGACGGGGGCTGTAGATGGGTTAGTGGACAACGTGTTTCCATGGGGCAGAAGTCAGTGTGTTGTTGTGATTCTGGATGGCCAGATTGCTAGCAAGAATGACAAGAAACTGCCATGTGGAGAATCGTAAGTAGCTTGTTTCAGCTCGTTTCATCTTGTTCTTGATACCATGTCTTGTTTTGAGGTGTTTTGACTGATTTCATATCAATGCTAATATGGCTAAAATTCGTTAGCTAGCTAACCAACAACTGTAAGGATGTATTTGAGAGGAAACGAGTGCTCATTGTGCAAATGTATTTATGTTTTCAATAAACAATGGAGACTAAATATAGCTTACATGTTGTCAACAATCTAAGCCAACCCAGTCTGTTTTGCATGCGTCGGTTTTGTTGCTAAACAACCAACCCGTCTATGGGAAGATCTCAATTGCATAGAAAGCCAGAGGTCCCTCCCCTCTGACCTTTTCCTCCAATGGGTTTTGAGAAGGAGACAAGGAGAGAGGACGCGAGGAGTATGCAATTGAGATCTTCCCATAGTCCCAATAATCTCTCCTCTCAAATTGTGCACTTGTTCACTTCCCTTCACTGATTTCAAAGGAAACTATTAGTATAAGAAATATGGTGGAAGCTCCCACTAGCCAATGCCAATCCAATGCTTTTAAATGTGTGGGTAGTAGTGAATAAGTGTACTTTGGGGCGTTCTGGCTCAGGCAAGCCTTAAGTTTACTTTTTAATTTATTTAGTGAACGAGTTCACACTTCAGGAGAAAGGAGATATTATTGGGACACACCCAGGGTCACGTTCAGAAAGTCTCTATAGAGCTGATTCCCTATTCTGCATGACGAAGAGAAGTGTGCTACATAATACATTTAGCAGACACTTTTATCCAAAGCGCTTTACAGTCACGCGGGCACACATTTTTAACACTTGGGTGATCCCGGGAATTGAACCCACTACGCTGGCGTTACAAGCGTCATGCTCTACCAACTGAGCTACAGAGGACCATACATACGAGGGTTAGCGTCAATTCCATTTCAATTAAATTCCAGTCAATTCAGAAAGTAAACCAAATTCCAATTCAACATTTTGGAATTTCGGTGTACTTCCTGAATTGACTGAAATTAAAATGGAATTGACCCCAACCCTGTTACATACAAACATCATGTATTTCTATCTGAATGTTCAGTCACGATGCACTCCTCTACACATGATGCTGGTGTGTTTCAAATGACACCTACTTCTCTATATGATGCACTACTTGTGGGGTTAGGGGTTAGAGGTCAGAGGTCAGAGGTGTTCTAATTCTATTACCTACCTCTTCTTCTAGTAGAGTCTGGAAGTTTTTGCGAAATCTCTGTTTGAAGTGATCACCTCTAGTTTTCCTCTTCTTCTTACCTAGAGACAGAAAGAAAGAGGGAAGGAGGAAGAGGGAGAGAAAGAGAGAGTAGGATGAAGAGATGAAAGAGAGAAGGGGGCAAAAGTACACATGAACAAATTAATGTAGAGCTCTCCACCAAACAATAGCACTGGGCAGGTCTAAAAGGTGTTCCCTCACACACACACACCAGGTTCGTCTCCTTCGCTAAAGGTGGGCAGGCGGGCGGCAGGACCGGCGGGAGGCAGGGAGGAGAGAGGGTCATCCTGGAAGTTGTCCTTCTCTAGAGCATCCAGCTGGCGATTTAACCTCCGCTGGCGTGTTGCATCGTCCAACACACGCCTCTGTCCTGCCTCCGCAACACGGGCTGGAGAGAGATAGAGGGAAGTGAGGGAGAGAGGGAAGTGAGGGGTAGAGATAGAGGGAAGTGAGGGGTAGAGATAGAGGGAAGTGAGGGATAGAGATAGAGGGAAGTGAGGGATAGAGATAGAGGGAAGTGAGGGATAGAGATAGAGGGAAGTGAGGGATAGAGATAGAGGGAAGTGAGGGATAGAGATAGAGGGAAGTGAGGGAGTAGAGATGAGGGGAAGTGAGGGATAGAGATAGAGGGAAGTGAGGGATAGAGATAGAGGGAAGTGAGGGGTAGAGATAGAGGGAAGTGAGGGATAGAGATAGAGGGAAGTGAGGGATAGAGATAGAGGGAAGTGAGGGGTAGAGATAGAGGGAAGTGAGGGTAGGATAGAGGGAAGTGAGGGATTAGGATAGAGGGAAGTGAGGGATATAGATAGAGGGAAGTGAGGGGATAGAGATAGAGGGAAGTGAGGGGTAGAGATAGAGGGAAGTGAGGGGTAGAGATAGAGGGAAGTGAGGGATAGAGATAGAGGGAAGTGAGGGATAGAGATAGAGGGAAGTGAGGGATAGAGATAGAGGGAAGTGAGGGATAGAGATAGAGGGAAGTGAGGGGTAGAGATAGAGGGAAGTGAGGGGTAGAGATAGAGGGAAGTGAGGGATAGAGATAGAGGAAAGTGAGGGATATAGATAGAGGGAAGTGAGGGATAGAGATAGAGGGAAGTGAGGGGTAGAGATAGAGGGAAGTGAGGGGTAGAGATAGAGGGAAGTGAGGGATAGAGATAGAGGGAAGTGAGGGATAGAGATAGAGGAAAGTGAGGGATATAGATAGAGGGAAGTGAGGGATAGAGATAGAGGGAAGTGAGGGGTAGAGATAGAGGGAAGTGAGGGGTAGAGATAGAGGGAAGTGAGGGATAGAGATAGAGGGAAGTGAGGGATAGAGAGAGGGAAGTGAGGGATAGAGATAGAGGGAAGTGAGGGATAGAGATAGAGGGAAGTGAGATGGGGGGATACATTTTTTATAAAATATCCAATATCCGTAGTCATATGGATTAAGTCATTCCAGTCTACATTGGTCTCATGTTTTAAAGGCAACAGTAGCCTAAAAAACAGATATGGCAGGCCAACCCTCCTCCGGGCCAGCTACTTGATGTGCAACCTTTTTCTTCCGCTCTGCTCAAATACACCTTACTGTAGAAACCGAATTGTAACGTGATTTTGTGATGGCTGCATACAGCGTTACAGCTTGGTTCATGGAAAGAACCGGCACCCATTTTTCAACTTACCTGTTCTTGGCGATACACTTTTCTTCTGAATCGAGAACGAAGAATGTATCTTATATATGTCCGTGTCCAGTTGCAAGTGGTTCTCCAAAAACCAGAGAATATTCAGAAATATATCAAATCCATGTTTTGTATCGAGTGAGAAATGCCGCTTGCATGTATGTAGATATTTTGGTCGCACTGTGTGAAGTGCTGTCATCTGCTTCTACACATGGCCACATCTCATGAAAAGTCCAGTACCAACAAAGATGTTGGGAAAGGCAAGAGGTCTGGCAGCTAAAATGGCGAAGGAACTCCTCACTCGGTGCAAATTGTGGATGTAATATTTTCCTTCAGCTGGACACAGACATTTATAAGATACACTTTTCTTCGGAATTGAGAACGAAGAAAGTATCGGCAAGTACAGGTTAGTTGAATATGTGCCTGCTATCCTTTACACTAGCCAGCAGATCCGACCCGCTTGCTTAAAGCTGCATTAGGGTAGGACAGGCTTTCTGTGTAGATTAAGACGCAGCGGAGCCGGCGCGAGATATGTCTCGAAAAACGTACCTCAATCCATGAATGAGAAATGCATTGTACTCCGAATTGTCCCATTAGCCCAACTGTTAGACAGAAAAGATTGAACGACCGCTAGTTTTTAAGTAAACTGCTGTGTTTCGTCCTCATGCTAGTTAGCAGTAGCCACAGCAGCCACTGTCTCGTTCCATTCACAGTGGTTTGGAGGCTGGATTTTTTTTGTTTTGTGGATTAAAGTGTGCAGGTAGCCTAGTAAAGGAGCCATTTGAAGTGATTGTTTGACAATCAGATGAAAACATCATGACTGGTTGTTTTTATGCCACAATAAAGTTATACATTTTAAAAGTTACATTACAAATCTTTACTACTAGGCCCACAGAGATCGTATTGAATTAATAGGGATTCTATATGAAATTCTATGATTTGGCCCATACATGTTTTTGGTATAGGTGGTACTGTACCGGGAAGAAATGTAATCTACTTTCACCCCTTCTTAATCTACACGTCTGTCCGACCCTAGTGCAGCTGTAAGCAAGCGGGTCAGATCTGCTGGCTAGGTTTATACAAGCTACTTATCAAAGACTATTACCCAGCTGGAACAGCTATAGCCTGGCTAGAAGAGCTAGTAATAGCCTGGCTAGAAGAGCTAGAGGACTAGACGATGATTTATTAGCTAACCTTGCTGTTGGAAAAGTACTGAAAGTTACTTTCTGTTGTCATGTACTTCCTCTCATTGCAATTAACTTCTTTCGTCTGCTTTCTAGGTTTTCAATCAGAGATGCTCTAGCTATATGTTTCAGTATAGTATGTCAAACGTGCTCACTACGGGTATTTTTTGTGACGATAGCGCATCTGCACACAACACCACCGATTAGCCAGTTAGCAAGCTCAAGTGACAAACGAACGGTTGTTTGTTAAGTCAACTTTTCTTGTATTATTGACTTGTGAACTCAAGTTATGTACTCGATATAGTTATTATAATCAGAAGCAACTATTTGTCTAAGAAAAGAGGGTTAAACTCACCCGAAGACTTCTTTTCAAAAACCATTTAATCCTTCCTACTTTAGCAGCAAACGCGTTTGGAGAATCTACGTAGGCCTGCAGCGAACAATTTGTCACAGATTCTTTTGTTGCGCGTTTCTGTTTGTGTGACATGGTCGCCTTCTTGTGGTATGTATGAGCATGGAATTAAAATGTTATTTCTAGTGGTGAGAAATAGATAAAATATGATTATATGGATTAAGATAACTTCTTGAACCAAATAATCACACAAATAAATATACCGGTATATAATAATTTAGCGCTATTAAAATGTAAAAATTGTATTTCTCAATGGTAACAAATAATTTACATTTGTACTAATCACGAGATAAAAAGCAGATCAAAGGGTTTACATACTTTGAGAGCTCTAGAGTCTTCTAGAACGTAAAAAATGAAAGGATATAGGCCTACATACCCTTACATGAAACAAAACAACAACAATGGAAGGATTATGGAATGTAAAAAATAAACAAATTATGAAAATGTTCATTAATTTGGACCTCTAAACGTCTAGGGAGTATTGGTTCCATGGAAATACACTCTGGTATAGTGGTATATGCAGTGAAAACAGTGTTTACTATGCGAAAACCTGGATGTGGGTGGGTCATACCTGAAGCAACAAGGGACAGGCACATCTGAGGGCCAGCTTTTGACGTGGTTAAATTATACTGACTTTTTACTTTTGCCATATATGTGCAAATAGACAGAATGTGTCATACACCCATAATCATTTCCAACACGTGTTATGCATTTCAGTCACCTGGGGGACATGCACACCTGAGTGCATCTATGGCCTGATATATGCTTTTGATGTGGTTCAACAGCTTTTTTTTATGCCAACATGTAATGCCAATGTTGACGGAATACGTCACATACACACACATATTTACAACACTTGTTTAGCATTTCTGGTAGTACAGTAGGCCTTTGTATTTAGTGCAGCAAGCCAATCCAATAGGATACTGTTGAGTAATGCGATGGATACAACAACGCTACATCCACTATATCCTGCCAGGGGCGGAAGTCTGGAAGTCTGTTCCAAACAGTAATCATTCCAACACGGAGTGTGAAGTGTCAGCATCTCTCCAGTCGCACGCCCATCATTCGTGGTAACCATTCTCTTGTTGTCGTCTGCATTTTCATTTACCAATATTTTGACGCTTTTGACATGCTTGCTCAGGTTAAATATTGCACCATAGATACGAATTTTTAACCAACTGGGTGGACAATAATTTTGCAGAAGAATTGTGCGCCGCGCGTCTTTATTTTTCTTGAGCGCTAATCATCACTTGTGTTTATTCATCTACAACAATTATTTCCTGCCATCGTGGTAGGTCGGCTGTGTAGCCGTCTCTCAAACATAGCAAAGGATTAAGTTACAGCTGGTGGCGGATTATTCTATTGCCTTCCTCTTGTCAAGGTCTAGTCTTCGGCCTTTAGCTTTTCCAATTGAGGTTGCCTGAAATCGAGGTACAGTAACTGAAAAAATGTCAATTTTGTTTGACTAAAACAGCTTGCTATTGTATTTACCTCGCCTAATCTCCTAAACCCTCACATTGTCGAACCGCTTCTCCATCAGGTAGGGCAGGATACTTTTAGGCTATTTGTCGTGTTATATTCCCTTCGTTGTATTTTGTGTCCTTTTTCTTCACCAGATGCTGCTCCTCTACTAATCTCACTGCAACTCCCCTCCAAGTCTCCGACCACTACTTTGTTTCCTTTTCTCTCTCGCTCTCCTCCCACACTACTCACTCTGCCCCTACACAGATGGTAATGCGCCGCCGCAACCTTCGCTCTCTCTCTCCCACTACTCTCTCCTCTTCCATCCTATCATCTCTTCCCTCTGCTCAATCCTTCTCCCTCCAATCTCCTGATTCTGCCTCCTCAACCCTCCTCTCCTCCCTTTTTTCATCCTTTGACTCTCTGTGTCCCCTATCCTCCCGGCCGGCTGGGTTTCCCCCCCCCCACTCCGTGGCTTGATGACTCACTGCGAGCTCACAGAACAGAGCTCCGGCAGGGGAGAGGAATGGAAGAAAACTAAACTCCCTACCGACCTGGCATCTTTTCACTCCCTCCTCCTCTCTACATTTTCTTCATCTGTTTTCTGCTGCTAAGGCCACCTTCTACCACTCTAAATTCCAAGCATCTGCCTCTAACCCTAGGAAGCTCTTTGCCACATTTTCCTCCCTCCTGAATCCTCCTCCCCCCCCCCCCCCACCTCCTCTCTCTCTGTGGATGACTTCGTCAACCACTTTGAAAAGAAGGTTGACGACATCCGATCCTCGTTTGTTAAGTCTAATAACACTGCTGGTCCTGCTCACACTGCCCTACCCTATGCTTTGACTTCTTTCTCCCCTCTCTCTCCAGATAAAATCCTGCGACTTGTGACTGCAGGCCGCCCAACAACCTGCCCGCTTGACCCCATCCCCTCCTCCCTTCTCCAGACCATCTCCGGTGACCTTCTCCCCTACCTCACCTCGCTGATCAACTCATCCTTGACCGCTGGCCATGTCCCTTCCGTCTTCAAGAGAGCGAGAGTTGCTCCCCTCCTCAAAAAACCAACACTCGACCCCACTGATGTCAACAACTACAGACCAGTATCCCTTCTTTCTTTTCTTTCCAAAACTATTGAGCGTGCCGTCTTTAGCCAACTCTCTTGCTATCTCTCTCAGAATGACCTTCTTGATCCAAACCAGTCAGGTTTCAGGACTGGTCATTCAACTGAGACTGCTCTTCTCTGTGTCACGGAGACTCTCCGCACTGCTAAAGCTAACTCTCTCTCCTCTGCTCTTGTCCTTCTAGACCTGTCTGCTGCCTTTGATACTGTGAACCATCAGATCCTCCTCTCCACCCTCTCCGAGATGGGCATCTCCGGCGCGGCTCACTCCTGGATTGCGTCCTACCTGACCGGTCGCTCCTACCAAGTGGCGTGGCGGGAAGCTGTCTCCGCACCACGTGCTCTCACCACTGGTGTCCCCCAGGGATCGGTTCTGGGCCCTCTCCTTTTCTCCCTATACACCAAGTCACTTGGCTCTGTCATATCCTCACATGGTCTCTCCTATCATTGCTACGCTGACGATACACAACTAATCTTCTCCTTTCCCCCTTCTGATAACCAGGTGGCGAATCGCATCTCTGCATGTCTGGCAGACATATCAGTATGGATGACGGATCACCACCTCAAGCTGAACCCTGGCAAGACGGAGCTGCTCTTCCTCCCGGGGAAGGACTGCCCGTTCCATGATCTCGCCATCACGGTTGACAACTCCGCTGTGTCCTCCTCCCAGAGTGCGAAGAGCCTAGGCGTGACCCTGGACAACACCCTGTCGTTCTCCGCCAACATCAAGGCGGTGACCCGCTCCTGCAGGTTCATGCTCTACAACATTCGGAGAGTGCGACCCTGCCTTACACAGGAAGCGGCGCAGGTCCTGGTCCAGGCACTTGTCATCTCCCGTCTGGACTACTGCAACTCGCTGTTGGCTGGGCTCCCTGCCTGTGCCATTAAACCCCTACAACTCATCCAGAATGCCGCAGCCCGTCTGGTGTTCAACCTTCCCAAGTTCTCTCACGTCACCCCCCCTCCTCCGCACACTCCACTGGCTTCCAGTTGAAGCTCGCATCCGCTACAAGACCATGGTGCTTGCCTATGGAGCAGTGAGGGGAACGGCACCTCTGTACCTTCAGGGTCTGATCAGTCCCTACACCCAAACGAGGACATTGCGTTCATCCACCTCTGGCCTGCTGGCTCCCCTTCCTCTGCGGAAGCACAGCTCCCGCTCAGCCCAGTCAAAACTGTTCGCTGCTCTGGCACCCCAATGGTGGAACAAGCTCCCTCACGACGCCAGGACAGCGGAGTCACTCACCACCTTCCGGAGACATTTGAAACCCCACCTCTTTAAGGAATACCTGGGATAGGATAAAGTATTCCTTCTAACCCCCCCCCCCCCCCCCCCAAATTGTAAAGTGGTTATCCCACTGGCTATAGGGTGAACGCACCAATTTGTGAGTCGCTCTGGCTAAGAGCGTCTGCTAAATGACGTTAATGTGCCCTTGAGCAAGGCACTTAACCCTAATTGCTCCTGTAAGTCGCTCTGGTTAAGAGCGTCTGCTAAATGACTAAAATGTAAATGTAAATGTATATGGGTATTTTCTGACCCACCTTTTCCATTAATGTTGATGCTGATAATAATGTGAACAGTGCATCTACAGTATTTGCAAACTACACCTACCACTCTCGGTGATATTCTTACATTCAAATGATCTGAATGCAAGGCAACATTTGTCACCTTCACGTTATTATAGCGTACTATTACACATGTTAACACCCTTGATTAGATGGATACTGTAGTGTCAACTGTAAAGCATTGGGTAGCACCCCCTCCCCTCTGTGGTCATCTCTAGCCCCCCCCCCCCCCCCCCCACTGTTCTTTTTAGAACTGACTGACCCACATTATGGGAGAATTTGGCTGTTGCACATGATTTCCTTACTTCCTTATCCGCAGCCTTAACATTAATTAAATGTTACTGACTAGCTTAATATACATTTCTTTATTGGTCAGTGCCATATTGTGTACCCCTATCAGCTCGTATTGGTGATAGGGGTTTCACAGAAACAGGAAGAGACCATTTGTTTTAAGCTTGACTCTTGACATTGTAGCCTCCTTGAGGATGTTCTTAAAAGAACATGGCTCGAAAAGTTTTGGAACTCATAGGCATACCAGCTACCACGTGCCAATTAGTTTTGACTTGCAATAAGCAAAACTAGCACCACCAGAATTCAAATTAATTCTAACCGCCACTTGCATGTGAGTGTCTCATTTACATTTACATTTACGTCATTTAGCAGACGCTCTTATCCAGAGCGACTTACAAATAGGTGCATTCACCTTATAGTCAGTAGTACAACCACTTTACAATGTTTTTTTTTTTTTTTTTAGGGGGGGGGGTGGGTTGGGGTAAGGGGGGGTAGAAGGATTACTTGTCTCAATATGTATTTGATGTGGTAGATGTATTGGAACATTTCTCGGTTGGGGTGTGGCTGCATAGGCTACATCATTAAATGTTGAGGATTAAAACCTCCACATCGATTTGTCAATGTTATTGCTTAGGGTGCATTATGGTTAACAAATAAGATCTCCCTCTTCAGTAATGTCGTTCCGAAGAGGCGTGGTCAGACAGAGCAAGTTCAGGCACGTTTTCGCACAGGCTTGGAAGGCGGAGCACTGCATCGATGATGTCCGAGTGTCCCGCGTCACATGGGACGGGCCCCTCTGCGCTGTGAACCCCAAATTCACCGCAGTCATCATCGAATCAGGCGGAGGAGGGGCCTTCCTCGTTCTGCCACTCAACAAGGTTTGTACTCGCCAATTTACATTTAAGCATCCAACCTCTCTCAGATTGAGGATAAGCATCGGATCAATACCCTAAAAGTGCCATCGTATTCCCGATGACCTACTGTTTTCGGGCAATTCCATGGGAATGGAATTATGCTGAGACTCAGATTTTTCACATAAAATATATATACCAAACAAAACCATTGATTTCAAAGTTTAACAAACCATAGAACTCTATACAAAAGGACTACTTTAAAAAATGCATTCAGAGGAAGAACTGTGCAGATACAAAGTTTAGAATAAAACTGAGGGCGATTTTACCGTAATTCTGTTACAGTTTTTCTAGTAAAAGTTACTTTTTTATTTTTATTTACTGTGTAAATTGTTCAAAGTAGTCATTGTGCATAGAGTTGTATGGTTTGTTCAACTTTGAAATCATGGTTTTTGTTTGGCAGACATTTTAAAGTGAAAAATCAGTCTCAGCATAATTCCGTTACTGTGGAATTCAAATCAAATCAAATCAAATTTTATTGGTCACATGCGCCGAATACAACAGGTGCAGACATTACAGTGAAATGCTTACTTACTGTGTAAATTGCTCTTACTCCACTGCCATTACTGGATGGGTTGTAGCAATATGTCAGCAACTCTGACCCACTAATTGGTTTCATGTAAAACAGTGGTTGGTGAGAAGTACTGAGATCTACCTCGGATGTTGTGACTTATCTGATGATGAATTGTCACCAGGCCCACCTTACACCTGCTTCTTTCCCACAGAGTGGCAGGATTGACCAGGCCACTCCCACGGTCTGTGGACACGCAGCCCCGGTGCTGGACGTCCAGTGGTGTCCTCATGACGACAACATCATCGCCAGTGCCTCGGAGGACTGCACCGTAAAGGTGAGTGATGGGAACGTAGCTGCCCTCTAAAAAAGCAGCTTAACCAGTTCACTGTAGTCTATGATAAAACGTTAAACCCTTGTCCAGATCTTTGCTTTGATTTAGGCGGACTGCTGGATTATAGTCATAAGTGTTCATTAAGGAGACATAGCAGATGCACTATTATATGATGGCATTATGTTGGCCTTATGATAGATGCATTACTATCCAGAGGGAATATCTGTGTTGAGAATGCTGCAGATACTGTCATATACAGTCATTGGTTAGGCCTATAGAGTAGAAACAAAGGGTCAGTTGTCAAAGTGTTGTCATTGGTTGTGTTGTCTATGACAGGTGTGGGAGATCCCTGATGGAGGGCTGACTGGGCCAATGACAGAGCCCGTAGTGACACTGGAGGGCCACAGCAAACGAGTGGGGATCCTGGCCTGGCACCCGACAGCCTTCAACATCCTCCTAACTGCAGGTAACCTCACCTATCTGCACCTCATTGTCTCACGTCAGATAGTGTGATCATAATGCCGTGGCCGTCTGAGAGAGGACAACGCATGGCAGAGGACAATGTCTGCACCTCAAATAGTGTATGTCTTTGGACTATCCAGCCCGGTAGCGATGCCTCTTGTATCAATGAATGTGTTGGTTAAAAGGCAAGGAAAGGTAGACATGGTAGGGGCACAATTTGATCCCCAGGTCCATGATGATGTGAGACCTCTTATGTTAGGACTTTTATTTTGATGGATAATAGCTCTGTAGTCTGAGAAAGAATAAATTAGTGTTTTAAGAGGGAAGTGTTGCATGTTGTCACACTTACACCTGGAAATGTAGACATGCTGATACAGACACAGCTTGGTCACGAGTCAGGGTAGGATGTAGCTAGCTAGTTAGCCACCCATGTGTCGAACATTGGACCCTATGTGATTGCCAGAGAAAGCTAACATGTAGCAGGAAATGTAAATAGTGAGAGTCGAAGGACCGCTCTAAACGTACTGGAGAGGTGTTACATGACAGACGGTTCAATTCCCAATGCATTATACAAGCCAGGAATTGAGTTTCCTTCTCTTGCAATTAACAGCATGTGATTATTATTTGACCCTGCTGGTCATCTATGAACGTTTGTACATCTTGAAGAACGATCTGGCCTTAATGGCCATGTACTCTTATAATCTCCACCCGGCACAGCCAGAAAAGGACTGGCCACCCCTCAGAGCCTGGTTCCTCTCTAGGTTTCTTCCTAGGTTCCTGCCTTTCTAGGGAGTTTTTCCTAGCCTCTGTGCTTCTACTTCTGCTTCTGCATTGCTGTTTGGGGTTTTAGGCTGGGTTTCTGTATAAGCACTTTGTGACATCTGCTGATGTAAAAAGGGCTTTATAAATACATTTTATTTGAAGTGCTTTGCAAGTTTAAAGGAGAATGAGGTAGGTTAACATGAAACTAAAGAGGTTTCAAGAGGTCATGGGAAGATTTCAAATGTTGAAAGCAATTTGATTTGTCTGTTTGTCTGCGTTACTTAGGATGTTATGTCTATTTGCATGCTTTTCATATACAAATTTGATTGCGTCCATATGACATTTGCGTTTACGTTTTAGTTGTCTGTGAACTCAGATAACTACTGCACACATGATTTTACCTCTACACATTTGTTGTGGTTGACGTCTTAGTTAACTAAGATTGGTAGTGTGCATGTTAACCCTCTACTGTAAACTTTTTGTCTGTGCTTTCCTAGATGTTGTGTATATGTCTGTTTTGACTGTTGCATCTCTTCTTTATTCTCTCTCCCTCTCGCTTGCTCTCTGTGTGTCTCTCTCTCTCTCTCTCTCTCTGTCTCTCTCTCTCTCTCTCTCTCTCTCTCTCTCTCTCTCTCTCTCTCTCTCTCTCTCTCTCTCTCTCTCTCTCTCTCTCTCTCTCTCTCTCTCTCTCTCTCTCTCAGGCTGTGATAACCTGGTGTGTGTGTGGGATGTGGGCACGGGGGAGCTGGTGTACCAGATAGGCGATGCCCACCCCGACCTGATCTACAGCGTGAGCTGGAACCGGGACGGCAGTGCCATCTGCACCGTGTGCAAGGACAAGGCGCTGCGTGTCATCGACCCACGACGGGGCACCGTCCTCAAGGTGAGTCCCGTCTGTCCCATGTAGTATGACACACCCATGCAAATGAATGGAAATAAGTCGTACAGAGATTTAGATAAAATGACGAGATACCTATGTCTCCACCTTAACAATGGGATTCGTTGTCCACAGAGCGGAACGGCGGGCTGTCAAGCTCCCGTCTATTCCTCTCTTTGGATTGATGGATACATTTAGTTATTTTAATACTTTTTTGAATATTCGATTAGGGATGTTGACGTCAACCACCTGTATTCAATGGAGAGAGATGCTATGCTACTAGCCACATGTCATGAATATGCATAGCCATCTCGAGATAATTCTGATATATATATATATATAATATATATATATTTTTTTTTTTGCAGTGATGTCACATGTCCTACTTATATCATTACGCTCGTAACAACCTAAGTATTACTAAACTTCTATTAGCTCAAATAAACCTCACGTAGCAAATAAGCCATTACATTTTTTGTTGACCAAATTCGACACTCATTGACCTCCATACAAAAACTCCTGGCTTGTTGAGCGAAAGAAACGAAACAAATTTGTCTGGAGAAGACAGATTTTTTCGCTCGGCTGTCCCTCTCACTTTGCCTTTTCCTCTGGTCTTTAGTACCAATAACAGTACAACTTTACTGTCCTTCAAGGGGAAATTCACCAACACAAAGTGGACTGTAACACATAAGCTCTCCACTGCTTAAGAAAATATCCTGCTTATGAAAGAAAATATGATTCAGCCAAATCCCCCAAATAATGTATATTGTATAAGTTTGTATGAACTCTACCTTCTGTACATATGACTTTTGACATTGACTCTACCTACCACTTGTTGCTGTGTCTCAGGTGAAAGAGAAGGTCCACGACGGCACCAGGCCCATGAGGGCCGTGTTCCTCTCCGACGGGAAGATCCTGACCACAGGCTTCAGCCGCATGAGTGAAAGGCAGCTAGCCTTGTGGGATACGGTATGTCGGCTGGATGGATACATTTCATATACACTGAGGACACCAAACATTAGGAACACTTTCCTAATATTGAGTTGCACCCCCCCCCTTTTGCCCTCAGAAGAGCCTAAATTTGTCGGCGCATGAACTCTACAAGGTGTCAAGCGTTCCACAGGGATGCTGGACTATGTTGACTCCAATGCTTCCCACAGTTGTGTCAAGTTGGCTGGATGTCCTTTGGGTGGTGGACCATTCTTGATACACACAGGAAATTGTTGAGTTTGAAAAACCCAGCAGTGTTGCAGCTCTTGACACAAACCGGTGCGCCTGGCACCTACTGCCATACCCTGTTCAAGGGCACTTAAATATTTTGTCTTGCCCATTCACCCTATGAATGGCACACATACACAATCCATGTCTCAATTGTCTCAAGGCTTAACAATCCGTCTTTAACCGGTCTCCTCCCCTTCATCTACACTGATTGAAGTGGATTTAACAAGAAACATCAATAAGGGATCATAGCTTTCACCTGGATTCACCTGGTCAGTCTATGTCATGGAAAGAGCAGGTGTTCCTAATGTTTTGTACACTCAGTGTACATGACCTTGTTGAGTCTTATGGGAGTGTATGGTAGAGGAGTGTGTTGTGCTGAGGTGTCATGACAGTACAGTACAGGTCAGCCCTGTTTATTTTCCCTTGACGCAGCACCTAGGGGTTCAATACACACACTTACCAAGTAGTGGGAGCTAAATAAACACTGTAACTGTAAACAGTGGAATCTTCATAGTGCCTTGGAAAGGTAGCTAGATCAACAGGTTCAGCTGCTACGTGTTCAGCCAGGCGCAGCAGTGACGTACATTATCAGCATGAGATTAAATACATTCAAATCCAAGCTCATAGTTTCAGGTTTTATTAGTCGTAAAGGATACACATGGTATACACCGTCCAATGAAATGCTTACGTTTAGGTTCCTTCTCAACAATGCAACAACAATAAGAAATAATAAAAGATAAGAATACGAACATAAAGTAAATGGCAGTAGAATAGAATAAACATTTTAGCATCAGTATAATACAGGAAGGCACAATTTATAGTCCAATATTTACACCTGTATCAGGGAAGGGGGGATTGGGGGGAAATGTTAACATTTGTTAGCATTACAGTGGGGGGGAAATGTTAACATTTGTTAGCATTACAGTGGGGGGGAAATGTTAACATTTGTTAGCATTACAGTGGGGGGGAAATGTTAACATTTGTTAGCATTACAGTGGGGGGGAAATGTTAACATTTGTTAGCATTACAGTGGGGGGGGAAATGTTAACATTTGTTAGCATTACAGTGGGGGGGAAATGTTTACATTTGTTAGCATTACAGTGGGGGGGGAAATGTTAACATTTGTTAGCATTACAGTGGGGGGGAAATGTTAACATTTGTTAGCATTACAGTGGGGGGGAAATGTTTACATTTGGCAGTATTAGCAATAGTAAATACGAGTCTGGTAGCAGCGCGTGCGTGAATGAGTAAGTGATTGCACTCAGACCTCATGCTCCGATACGGTCTGCCTGACGGTAAGGGAGTGAACAGCTCGTGGCTGAGGTGTGTGGGGTCCTTGATGCTGCAGGACTTCCTCAGGCACCGTTTCAGGTAGATGTCCTGGATGGGTGGGAACACAGCCCCAGTGATGTACTGGGCCCTCTTCACCACCCGCTGGAGGGCCTTGCGGTCGTGGACAGAGCAATTCCTGTACCAGGCCGGTCAGGATGCTCTTGATGGTGCAGCGGTAGTATTTGGAGAGGACCCGGGTGTTGTTGGTCCATGTCAAATCATAGGTGATGTGTACGCAGAGGAACTTAAAAATGCTGACTCTTTCTACTGCAGTCCCGTTGATGTTGTTCGGGGGCTTGTTCTCTCCTCTGCTTCCTGAAGTCAACAATCAACTCCTTTGTTTTGCTGACGTTGAGGGAGAGGTTGTTGTCCTGGCAACACAATGCCAGTTCACTTACCTCCTCCCTATAGGCTGACTCATTGTTGTTGGGATCAGGCCTACAACCGTGGTGTCGTCAGCAAACTTGATGATGGAGTCGGTGTCGTGCAAAGCCACGCAGTCGTGGGTGAACAGGAGGTACAGCAGAGGGCTGGGGACACACCCCTGGGGGGCCCCTGTGTTAAATCACTGTGGAGGAGGTGTTGTTGCCAATCCTCACAGCCTGTGGTCTTCCCGTCAGGGCTCTGCATTTGGTGACGAGCTTGTAGGGAACAATTAGTATTGAATACTGAACTGTAGTCAATGAACAGCATTCTCTCATGCAGATGTTCTAATTATGGTATGTGTGTTGCAGAGTGATATGTCTGAGCCAATGGCAGTGCAGGAGATGGACACCAGTAACGGTGTTCTCCTTCCCTACTACGACCCTGACACTAACATGGTCTACCTGTGTGGAAAGGTACAGTACATCCATTTCCTTCAACACTTTCAACAATTTCTGCTGGCGGCATATGATCGGATTAGAAGATCTCCCCCCTCCTGATGTTTGGTTCAGTCCCATTTATCTGTTGATCACTCTCAGGGGGACTGCACCATCCGGTACTTTGAGGTGACGGACGAATCGCCTTACGTCCATTTCCTCAGCCTGTACAGCAGTAAAGAGCCCCAGCGAGGAGCAGGCTTTCTCAGCAAGAGGGGCGTGGACGTCAACAAGTGTGAGATAGCCAGGTGAACAGGTTTTTCAGCGTGTCTTCATGGTTGTTAGTTGAATTCTTCCTCTGTGTATTTATACCCTTTGTTCTGTTTTTCACCCCTCCTCTCCCCCTTTCATGCCCTCCCACTGTAATTCATTTCTATCTTTCTTTCTTTCACTCTCTTTCATTATCTTTCATTCATTCACTTTTTCATTCACTCTCTCTGTCTCCTCTCTCTCGCATATTGCAGGTTCTACAAATTGCATGAGAGGAAAGTAGAGCCCATTTCTATGACAGTACCACGGAAGGTAAACCATGCATTTCGAAACAAAGACATTTGAAGTCTAAGGACTAAGGCCATATTCCAATAGCCACACTAGCATCCCACATAGAATCCATGCCCAAAACATGACATTCTACTAAGTGGCATGTTAATGTGGATATTGGAACAGGGAGTTTTATTTAAACCACCCTCTCCCCCTCCCCTCTCTCTTGCCTCCTCAGTCAGACCTGTTCCAGGGGGACCTGTACCCGGACACGGCCGGTGTGGAGCCCTCCCTCCTGGCCGAGGACTGGATCGCTGGGCAGGACGCGCCGCCCCTGCTTGTCTCTCTGAGCGGGGGCTACGCTGGCGCCCCCTCCAAGCACAGAGACAACCTCAGGAACAAGCCCAAGCTGCTGTCACAGGGCTCCGGGAAGGATTCTTCCCCAGTCCCCCAGCAGGCCGCCTCGCCCACGGCAACCACCACCACCGCCGTCACCAGGGAAATGGAGAGCGAGGGGGTGGGGGTGGTGCAGCAGAGGGTTACTCAAGGAGAAGGAGCATCCGATAGGGTGAAAAGAGAGGTGAGAATGGAGTTTGGGTATGGCAGTAAGCATAGCAGGGCTGTATTCACTAGTGCACACTGTAGCAAAACGTTTTATAACGAGAGTTTCTTATTGCTCAAGTTCAGGTTGTCTCCCTTAGAGAAATAGGTATGAGTATGGACATAGAAGTGCCAGAAAAGTGACGATTTAGGATGTCATCATGTATGTGACTGCATTCTCCCTCTTCACCTCCCTCTCGCCCCTTCCTTCCTTCATCCATCCATCCCTCCATCCCTCTTCCCCTTTCCAGGAGGAGGTGCTGAGCGAGGTGCTAGCGGAGGTGAAGGCCCTGCGTTCAGTGGTCTTGGCCCAGGGCCAGAGGATCGAGCTGCTGGAGAGGCAGCTGGTCCGCATTGAGGACGGGGACGTCTGATTGGCCGAGGGGCGTCACCACTACACCCAAAGGGCATTCTTACTAAGACTCCATAGACCATAGCCTTACTAGAATCAACAGCAGTACCTTAAGCTGTTTGGGAGTGGGATGATGTAGTGAAGTATAGCTCAGTGACTAACTGTGTGAATCACAGAGGGGTCGAGAATAAGGTGAATTATTATAGTGAAGGTGTGCAGAGACCAATTTGGTTTCTGTGGGTGAATCTAAATGGTGTTTTCTTGTTACCACACGTCCTCTCTCCTCGCCTTCTCAAAACGCATTTGTAGAGCAAGTCAGAGGTTCCTCCCCTCGGACCTTCTCTTCCAATGGGTTTTTGAGAAGGAAGCGAGGAGAGAGGATGCGAGGAGTCACGGAAATACAATTGAGATGCACCCGACAACTCTTTAGATGCTGCTTCAGTTAGATAGCAGATGATACAGGATGAATGGAGATCATCTGCATAGGACTTCCATACTGCAGTAAGATATGTCTCCGGGTTTTATAAAGGTGCATCGATGGTGACACTATTTGAAGGTGTATCACTACAAAACTTAAGACATGCAGAATCAATTGTAGCCTACTCACGAATCCTTATGCCAGTATGACATCTGGCACAAAGGTCTATTATGTTAATTTGGCACATTTACAAAATGGCACATCTTTAGATTGCCAGATCATTTACAGTTGCTGTGTTCATTGAAGCACTCACATTGTGAATCCATTAGGGATTGTTTCAGCAGGTAGTTACAGCTGCTAATCATGATGTCATATCCATTTTATTATTAATACTTATACATTTGTACATGTATGGCTTTATACATTGGCTTTATTCATTACCATCATAGGAATCTATTACCCTACAATCAGACCATTGGTATTATCAATATAATTGTATATGCTAATATCGCTATACTGTTTACAAAACTGCGCTGGTTCATTGCGATTGGATAAGTTGTATTGAATTGTGCTGTATTGCGCCTATATTGACATATAAAGAAAAACAGGTCGGTCAATTTCCAAAAAGCGCTTTTTCTTACAAATTATGTGAAGGACGTGAGTTGAAGGAGGTAGTTTAAAAACATTCCCATGTATGTTAATCTCTTTTTGGGTGATTTTTGTAAGTATTTTTTTTTTTTTACCTTAGAGAAGGTAACACTTAATTTGTGCTCTCCAACTTAAAAGTTGTCTTAGGTGAACACAGCAACATGCAGTATCATTTGTCACAAAGGGTTATAAACTCCAATGACAGCTTATAACAGGGTTCAAGTTAAGTGTTACCTCAGAGAATGTTTTCCAAGCAGAACAAACATAATATGATACCATTAAAAACATAGCAGTTCTATGAGTGTCACGAGGCATAGAACTTAAAACGTTACAATGATTTTTTTGATTTTTGTTTTTTTTTACTGTGTGAATTATGTAATCTAAGTCTGTAGAACCTAATAGACTAATGTAGCAGCAGCTGTTGTGTTTCTATTTGAAGATGGGAAAGAAAGGGCATACGATGCTCGACTGTTGGACGGAACTGAAAAATAATAGTTCACTGTGTTACATTTAGATTTATCAGCAGTTTATACCTCATCCCTTTGCAGCCTCGGGTACAGTTCACATATAGCCTGGTCCCAGATCTGTTTTAGGCTGTATTGTCGACAATGACTACAGGAGTTGGCGAGACAGCACAAACAGTTCTGGGACCAGGTTAGTTCACATCGGGCTCATCACGTGATTATTTTATTTACTTGATTAATATTTCTGTATGCACTGTCATACTACACATCATGTTATGTGTGTGGTTGTGAACCAATAGGTGATGAAAATGACTCCACTGTGAGAATCTTCCAATAAACACTCCTTCCTCTTTTGCATTGTGGAACAGTCACTTAGTAAGCCTCACGGGCCACATTTCAGGAAGTCATAGCTGTCATTGAAATGACTGAGTAAGCCAGTGTATTGACACACACCAAAAATAGGAAAGTGAACAAACAGAATATATTCTACCAGTAGTACAATTATTTAGTTTCATAGCAAACACACGAGTGGTTATTATCTTGTGTTATCATACACTGTGTAACCCAGTGGTTATCATCTTGTGTTATCATACACTGTGTAACCCAGTGGTTATCATCTTGTGTTATCATACACTGTGTAACCCAGTGGTTATCTTGTTATCATACACTGTAACCCAGTGGTTATCTTGTTATCATACACTGTAACCCAGTGGTTATCATCTTGTGTTATCATACACTGTGTAACCCAGTGGTTATCATCTTGTGTTATCATACAGGGTAAGCATGCTCCTGAAGCTTATCTGATTGGTTCCTCAACTCTGAGAAAAGAGAATACTCTGAGAAAAGGGCTTTGGATAGAATAACTCAATTAAATTGTGCATTAGAAATGGACAATCAAGTTCAGTCCTCCCACAACATAAAAGCTAAAATTACATACATTAAAATCAATTAATAGGTAGTCCTCTTAGTAGGTTTGAAGCATATAGATTAATACTGTATCTATCTTTATGGTTCCCCAGTAGTTTCTGGTGTTGTGTTTGTACTAGCCAGTGGGTCACATAACAGGATGTGGTCCAAGGCTGAAAGTGCATCAGCTCGGAGTCTCTTTTGAACCTGCCCGTGTTCCACCACTCACTTCCTGCCTCTGGGCTCTGCAGTGTCTGTCAGCCTAGTGGTTCTGCACTGCTTCAACTCTTACCATACAGTGCATTCGGAAAGTATTCAGACCCCTTCACCTTTTCCACATCTTGTTACGTTACAGCCTTTTTCTAAACTTTATTAAATTGGTTTTTTCCCTCATCAATCTACACACAATACCACATAATGACAAAGCAAAAACTGTTTTTTAGAAATGTTTGCTAATTTATAAAAAATCAAAAATGTAAATATCACATTTACATAAGTATTCAGACCCTTTACTCAGTACTTTGTTGAGGCACCTTTGGCAGCGATTACAGCCTTGCGTCTTCTTGGGTATGACACTACAAGCTTGGCACACCTGTATTTGGGGATTTGCTCCCATTCTTCTCTGCAGATCCTCTCAAGCTCTGTCAGGTTGGATGGGGAGCGTCGCTGCACAGCTATTTTCAGGTCTCTCCAGAGATGTTTGATCAGGTTCAAGTCCGGGCTCTGGCTGGGCCACTCAAGGACATTCAGAGACTTGTCCCGAAGCCACTCCTGCGTTGTCTTGGCTGAATGCTTAGGGTCGTTGTCCTGTTGGAAGGTGAACCTTCGCCCCAGTCTGAGGTCCTGAGTGCTCTGGAGCAGGTTTTCATCAACTATCTCTGTACTTTGCTCCGTTCATCCTTCCCTCGATCCTGACTAGTCTCTCAGTCTCTGGCCAAAGAGTTCAGGCCAAAGAGTTCAATCTTGGGCTTCATCAGACCAGAGAATCTTGTTTCTCATGATCTGAGAGTCCTTTAGGTGCCTTTTGGCAAACTACAAGCGGCCTGTCATGTGCCTTTTACTGAGGAGTGGCTTCCATCTGGCCACTCTACCATAAATGCCTGATTGGTGGAGTGCTGCAGAGATGTTTGTCCTTCTGGAAGGTTCTCCCATCTCCACAGAGGAACTCACCTCCCTGACCAAGGCCCTTCTCCCCCGATTGCTCAGTTTGGCCGGGTGGCCAGCTCTAGGAAGACTCTTGGTGGTTCCAAACTTCTTCCATTTAAGAATGATGTTCTTGGGGACCTTCAATGCTGCTGACCTTCCCCAGATCCGTGACTCGACACAATCCTGTCTTGGAGCTCTACGGACAATTCCTTCGACCTCATGGCTTGGTTTTTGCTCTGACATGCACTGTCAACTGTGGGACCTTATATAGACAGGTGTGTGCCTTTCCAAATCATGTCCAAACAATTGAATTTACCACAGGTGGACTCCAATCAAGTTGTATAAACATCTGAAGGATGATCAATGGAAACAGGATGCACCTGAGCTCAATTTCGAGTCTCATAGCAAAGGGTCTGAATACTTATGTAAATAAGGTATATATTTTTAATTTCTTACCAGTTTTCGCTTTGTCATTATGGGGTATTGTGTGTAGATTGATGAGGAACGAGTTTGGGAAACCCTGATATAACTGATATCACTTGCTCTTTAGAGTGCGAGCTGCTTTTATAAGAGTTGGTGTTCATTAGCAGAATCACTAGGTCCAGTTTGGTTCAGCCACTCTGTGTTCATTGGACTGTATGTATCTGTGAACCTTGAACTTTGCAGGTACAGTATGTTGATGGGTGGGTTCCTTTAGTGACATCAACCCTCCATGGTTGTACAAATCAATTCCATAGAACATTTTCTTGTGTCTATTTTCAAAGGATGAAGCTAAGAGCATTAACAACTTCATAGTTAAAAACACTATAACAATGGAAGAAAGTGAAATGTATTCCACAAGAACCTATATCACTCCCTAAAAACAAAATCCAATGGAACAATCCATTTTCAGAATGCACAGATAAATTGGTCCAGATGGACAATTAGGTGAAGGATCTTTTAAACTAACAAAAAGAGTTCTACAAGCAGTTGTTATGACAACAACAAAAGTGTTTTGTCCAAATACTGGTGGAGTCAACTAATAAAACAATGGACGACCTGACCAGAGAGGTCCAGGACCTAAAGAACAGTTTGCAGTTCTCCCAGGGTCAGCTCGATGAGTTTAAACAGGAGAACGGCAAGATGACAGCAATCTCTAAGTCATTGAGAGAGGACGTCAGTTCTGTGTGTGATTCCCTGATCATAATGACGGATAAATCAGATTATCTCGAGGTACAATCAAGGCGGAACAACATGGTTGTGGATGGGGACAAAGTGAGGGAAATTATCTTGGAGAAATTGAAGATAGACCAGAGGAAGATTGAGGTGGAGCACGCCCACAGAACTGGAAAACCCACCACCGGCCCAGGTGACAGGCCCAGGCCGATAGTGGTCAAGTTCCTGAGGTTCAAGGACAAGGTAGCTGTTCTGGAAAGAGCCAAAAATTTGAGAGGAACGTATATCTTTCTCAACGAGGACTATCCTGAAGCTGTGTGCCAGAAGAGGAAATAACTTATCCCAGCCATGAAAGCTGCCAGAGCGCGAGGGGACATTGCTTACATCCGCTTTGACAGGCTCATTGTCCACCCTCCCTCCCAAAAGCCTGGAAGGGATGAGAGAGCCAAGCCTATGGGTTTGTAGCTTCAACCCCGCAGCACACACCACACTTACACACACCAATTGATTAATGGACTGCTGAATGTATATTATTTTCTTGATTTATTTGCTATTTTCCATATTATGTCTATCTCTGATAAGATACACAGGAAAGGGCTGAAAATAGCCCATATTAATATATGTAGCCTTATAAATAATGTTCATGAAATCAATAACTTGCTAACATCAGATAACATGAATATATTAGCCATTTCTGAGACTCACGT